CAAGTCCGACATCGGACGACAAGCCACCGACGCAGCCTGAATAAACTGCGCCACGGCCGACTCCCCAAACAGGAGAGGACAAAAAGGTGAAGAACTCCTAAGAGCCAGAGCCCAAGCAGATTCCACGGAGGAACCCAGCACCGCCTGCCGACACGCGAGACGGGAAGCATAGAACAGGGAAACCGCATCCCGCAAAATCGGCGTGAACAGCTTCAACAAGGCAGCCGACGAACGCGCAGCCGAGGACAAGGTGCCGGACCCCGGGACGGACCCAAGCGTCCCCACATCCTCCACGAGCCAATCCGAAGACAGCTCCAAGAGGGAAAAGAACCGCAAGGCCGAACACAAAAGGCCCCGGGCGCGCAAGTCCTCCGCCACGAGCGCCGCCGAAAGGGAGGGAACCTGCACATGGAGCTGAATAACGCCCACATTGCGGGGAAGGGCAGGGGCAAACAAGCACTCATTCAGGTACTCAAGTTCACCCCCCAGGAAAACCTGAAGCACCGTGGAAGCTTCCCGCCACTCCAGCGTGCGGGAACGACAGAAGGAATGCCAGGAATCCAGACCAAACAAGGGGCAGTCTGCTAGCCAGGACGACTCCGGAACCTCGTAACGGAGCCAGAAAGGGAACGAAGTCCCAAACCTGAACGTGGACGGATCCATTTCCGAGGCATAATCCGGGTCACGCAGGAGGTAAGCTGCAAAGGCCGCTCACACCACACCAGGTTGGATGCGATAAGCCGAAAACCGCCGGAAGGACGGAACCGACGTACCCGGGGGAACACGGAACCGAACCCGGGGAGGGGCCGACACCAAATCCAACTCGTACGCAGAGGGGGGAAAAGAAAACCCCACTCCTTGTAACAATAAGCCCCGCTCAGTGGGAAGAAAAACCCAGGCGGGGTCCAGCGGGGCCCAAGGCCCCCAAGTCAGCCCCTCCCCAGCCTCGAGGTCCGTCACCACAGGACCCGAGGCCGAGTCCTCTCCCCAAGCCCCGACCCCACAAGACAAGGACGGAGCAGCCGGAAAAGCTGGAGGAAGGGGGGCCCACTGGTCAGACCCTGAAGCTTCGGCCGGGAGACAAGACTCGAATGCCTCTGCCGCCCCCCCCGGAAGGGGCAACCCCCGAAGCTGCCCGAGTCTCGAGATCAAGTAACCCCTGCTCCGACCCCGAAACCCTCAGACGCTTCGGGGCCGGAAGCAGGGGCGGGGGACCAGAACGAACAGAAGGGGAAGGACGAGGAGGTGCGGACTGAACCAGGATCAAAGCGACCCCCACCCCCAAGTCCGGGTCTCGAAAAGCAAAGCGGGGCAGCCCCGGGGCATCCGGGGAAGCAACCAACCGAGCGCGTTGCAACAGACGGAACGTAGACTGCAACGCACGTGCCGCCCGTACCCGAATAGAATCATCAGAGGATTGGGTAAATTGAGTCACAAGCAAGCAGCAACACTCACAGGACTCAGGGTTGAAAGTATCACCGACCCAACAGGCAGCGTGGCAGAGGCAAAAACAATGAGGGTCACCCTGAGACAAGGGGACCGAGCAACCCTCAAACTCGCACACAGCGAGTGGGGACTCCGGGGTCACATCCATCGGACCCACGCGCCCCCTAGGGGATTCCCAGGGTCCTGAGCGTTTACTTTAAGAGGACTCGCGCTCAGGTAGTCCCAGGCAGGGTGCTGCAAACCGGCGCCCAAAACTACCAAGCAAACTTCTAAAGCTGAACCCCAGGGACGTGTACACTCACGGGGACCTAGCAGGGGGCGCCACCGAGGAGAACAGTGGAAGGGCAAAAACAAACTGAATAAAAGGACAGAACCCCCCACCAGGCAAAAACAAAAAGAAAAACAAAACCCCGCAAGAGGACAGCGAACCCCAAGGAACAGAGCCGGCCGCGATGTCGGGAAATACAAGCTGAGCAGCACCCTGCGCCCCTACCAGTGCAAACTGCCTCTTACCTGCCGGTAACAAGGGAGAACAGAACACCCAAGAGCCCAACAGGCGGCCGAAAAACCGAAAGGTAAAACGGACCAGCAGAGGCAGACCCCGAGGAGCCTGTGGAAGGTGGCCCCAAGCCCCAAGGGCAGTACTTACAGGGCACCTAGGGAAGGCAGCCCTAGGCGCATGCAGTCCGAGTACTGAAGATAACTCCTGGCTCTCGCACCCACAAAACTAACACCACACGCAAAGCACAGTGCAGTAGCGACACCGGAGCCAGAGCACACGACCATCGCCTATAGCATCAGCCTCAAGAACTGAGGTGTGGGTAGCCGGCGCGGGGGGTCTGGGGCTCCCCCTTCCCCCTCCCGGGGAGGGGGGGGGAGCTGCGCAGACAGCGGCGCGGCAGTGTGTGACGTCACACTAGTTTGCTTGTTTTCGGTTGGGGAGTTCTATCCACTAGTTCGGTTTTAGGTAGCAATTTTAACCAGAATAGGGGTTTGTTTTGGGGCGCTTACCTTTCTGGGTGCCTGTTCCGGTCGATGGCAGACATAGAATGCTTCCAACTACACGGGGGCTTCTATAGGCCATTGCTCCCCTTGCCTCTCTGAGGGGGCCCGGTTCTGGCCGTGGTCCCCGGTAGGCCTAAGAACTCCATACACATGACTGATGCCAAAGTCTGACATTAGCATATCAGCCTGGGATAGCTCCGGGGAGCCGACGGGGCTCCCCCCAGAAAAGAAATGAAATTTAAAACAAAAAAAATGTCAAAAAGTTTGGTGTTCAGCAGGTAGGCTGCTCCATGTTTCTTAAAAAAAAAAAAAAAAAAAAAAAAAAAAAAAAAAAAAAAGTTGAAACAATTTGAAAAACAGACAAATGCCATATAGGTACGTTCAGTGTTTGTTGGGTAGGCTGCTCCATTATTGGGAAATAAATGAAAAATATAAAACAAATGGAACACATTTAAAACAAAGACAGATTGTCATAGTGGAGCAGCCTACCCAACAAACACTAAACGAACCTTTATGGCATTTGTCCGTTTTTCAAATTGTTTCAACTTTTTTTATTTTTCGTATTTTTTTTTTTTAAGAAACATGGAGCAGCCTACCTGACGAACACCAAACAAACCTTTTGCTATAAAAAAATGAAAAAAATTGAACAAATTTGAAGAAAGAAAAATGCCATAAAGGTTTGTTCAGTGTATGTAAGGTAGGCTGATCTATTATTTAACACATCGAATATCATATTGATGTTTTTCAGTGGTAGAACAGATTAATTTGATTTCCATAATATTAAATGGTGAAATTTGTTTTAAAAGACGAGTGTTTCACATACGAGCTCGGTGCCGGAATGGATTAAATTCGTTATTCGAGGTTCCACTGTATTATTATATCTATATTTGCATCATACATGCTAAAACCCAGAAATACTGTAGTTGATTAAATCATCATATGATGATGACTGCATTCCCTTAGTAACATTCATGATGTTAACCATATTCATACTATGAAGTGATAACAGAATTATTTTCATGGGTTAAGGTACACTCCATTACATCCACATTAAGGGGCCTGGTAGCCCGGTAGATAGCGTGCAGGACTCGTAATTCTGTGGCGCAGGTTCGATTCCCGCACCAGGCAGAAACAAATAGGCAAAGTTTCTTTCACTCTGAATGCCCCTGTTACCTAACAGTAAATAGGTACCTGGGAGTTAGTCAGCTGCTACGGGTTACTTCCTAGGGTGTGTATGTGTGTGTGGTGTGGGAAAAAACATAAAAAAAAAATAAAAAAATAAAAAATTAGTTAGTAAACTGCTGATTGACAGTTGAGAGGCGGGTCGAAAGAGCAAAGCTCAACTCCCACAAACACAACTAGGTGAATACATAGACCTATTATATCCATACCTGTACTTGGATCATACATGTAAAACCAAAACAATAATTTTTAAATCATCGTATGATGATATCCGCATTTCACCGTGAATCAACAATTGACAATGACTGCTACCTAAGGGTTAAAATCTTTTATGAGTGTGTATGGCTGAAGCTTCCACAGCTCACTTTAGATGGACGATTTTCTTAAATACTTCCTAGTACCAGTATGGCCCTGTGGAAAGTTTGAAAAGTTTCCTGTTGTGCTAGCACCTCAAATGTCACTCGTACTTACCCATACAATTCACCACCTTATTGACAGCAAAATCTTAACTTAACGGGAAACCAAGCGAGTCTACTCAGAAATGTACAATTCATATGTTGGGAAAATCAAAGCCTATTCTGTGCTTAAACCACCTGATCACTCCCTTAAGCAAGAAACCTGTTCACCCAGAATGCAGTGAACTCGGTCCAGTCAGTGAGATCTTTACCATCCTTGTTGCAGAGGAAATCTTTCAAGCCTCCACTGCTGGGGACATTTATGGTGTAAGGGAGACACTAGAGTATACTCAATCTTGCCCCAAAAGTACATTATTCTCTGTATTCTAAGAAAAAAATTTTGCTTGGAGAAGATTTTTAACAGTTGATTAGTATCTTTTGATTGTAGTCTGTGGCTGAATTAAATATTCTGCTATTTTCCTTTTCCCCATATGGTCCAGTTTTCCATATATGGGAAAATCCAATTCCAAATGATCCCCCCCTGTGTTGGGAATGATGCAGCCTGTCCTCTTGAGTTGCCACAGTGAACAAAAATATTCTGTGCCCAAGCAAGATAGAAAACATGATGTTTGTGAGCCACTATAATTTATAGTACACTGTATTTTGCCCATTAGGGATTTTAATATCCAAATACATTGTATTACTTGAGAGGACAGGCTGAATGATGAAATTCATAAGGGTCACACTGAGCCTGGTGTAGTCACCTGAGAATGTAGTACTGTTGCCTAAGGAGGAGAATGACCTTACTCAGAAAGGTGCTCTTCATCTTTACTTAAAACCATAACCCTAATTTTCATGATTAGCAAAATTATTGTAATACAAAGTTAATAAAAACACAACACTAAGCATGTTATATATTTAATGCTGATTTTAGAACTAATTACCAGCATCACTACAGAGAACTGTACTTACACATTACTAGGTCGTGGCTGGGGCTTAACTCGTCGACAGTAGATTGTTGCTCCCACGAAAGCACCTATAAGAGTAATGGCTCCAGCCACTCCAGCAATTACTAACACAATCAAACTTCCTCGGTCCACAAACCACCCTGATGGTTTGCCTATACTTTTTCCAACTGCTGAAAGAAAATACAAATTAGCTTAAACATATTTATATAATTATTAATTATAAATACATATATACAGTACAATAGAGGAAAGGCACTGCACTGGAGTACAAGAGTACTTAACAGACAGAAAACAAGGGTCATAATCATAGAGAATATGTCAGGCTGGAGAGGAACAGAAAAAGGTGTTCTATAGGGCTCTGTCATAAGACCACCGCGCTTTTTAATTTATGTAAATTACCTTCCAGAAGAAGCGAACTCATACATGTCAATATTTGCAAATGATAAAAAGTTATCCCTTAACATGCTCGGGGTCTAATATCCTGCTATCCACACAGGCGCATGTCATTTTGAAAAAAAAAAAAATTTTTTTTTTTGCTAATCTGTTAAGTTCTGTTCACTCATCACGGGAAAAATAAAAAAAAAATTCTATTGTACTTACTTTTGTTGCAATAGAGCCGAGAAGCTCGGTGATAACGTCACAATCTGCATGTTCGCTCATGCAGTACACGCCAGGGAGGTGTTGCGCGCGGTCCTCAAACAGCCAGAGTTGCCACAAATATATTTTCGCGCTATTTATTTACAATGTCTAAGCGCATTTTATCTAATTTTTTTTCACTAATTGTGTTTCAAATACTGTTTGAACATATTTTGTATCAATAATTGTTGCATATTTGAGTATACACAGGCGCACACAAATGTTTTCAATTACGGCAATATAATATGTCATTACAGTCTATTATATTGTATGTTCTGCTTATATCTGTATATATTTACACACACGCACACGCTATCTGCTTATATGTTTACATATTTACACACTCGCACACACTATACACACTTTGAAGCACACTTAGAAGATTTCTAGACTGTGGTAGTCATTGAAGCAGTCGACAGCACATAATGGGATACCACACGTTTCACACCATGTTTGCACAAGCTTCCGTTTCTTGTCTCTACGTGTCGTTGTTTTACACACCAAGCAATCACGTTGGGCTATTGCACGCTTCACACCAGGTGGCAAATACTTAAGTTTGTGTGCTAGGAAGCCTTCAGTGTGAGCGAGGCGTGGAGTACCAGCATGCTGCAACAGTGGGTTTATGATGGGCCGCTGAATACCTGGGACATCTTTTGCAAACTTTCCTAATAACTGTATTGCAGCATCAAATACAAAGTCACGGAAAGTGGGCTTACGTCCAGTTCTCACAAGGTACATGTTGAAACAGTTCAGCATGCTCATGTCCACAAGATGGAAGAACACTTTTTTCGTCCACCTACATGTCTTCCGCACACACTCTGCAGTGCCAATCATCATGTCTGATTTATCAATCAACCGCATGTTGATATTATAGTCTAAAACACAGTCTGGCTTATATAGTGGTGCGTTTGTTTTATGGTTCACTTTCCCACTGTTCACCATTGTTCCATCATGAATTGTTGTCAACAAGTTCACCTCTCTTTTGTCTTTCCACCGAACTGACAGAATGTTATCACTTTTCCTTCTCTGACACTCACCAACTGCAATGTCGTTGTCAAACACAGGCATTTCCCTTCGTTGTGGCTTTACTGTACCAACCAATCCGGTTCTATTTTCTAGCAAGAACCGAGCTAGCAAGGGACTTGTATAGTAATTATCTGTGTATAAAATGTGTCCCTTGTTCATCCACGGAGTCATGATGGTCTTCACTACACTCCCCGAGAATCCATGTTCGTCGTTACCGGGAATGTCTACATCACTAGCCGAGTACAGAATCATGTGTAACACGTATCCTGTCTCACAATCACAAAGAACAAAAAATTTCAGGCCAAATCGGTTTCGTTTTGAGGGAATGTACTCTTTGAATGGAACACGTCCCTTGAAAAGTATGAGAGATTCATCAACCACCAGCTTCTGTGCTGGTACGTAAAAATCTCTGAATTTTCCAATAACATCGTTCATGTAGTGCCTCACTCGCCACAGTCTATCATCAGGTGTTCGGTCCTGAACACTTCCAAAATGTAGACACCTGAGGAGTATCTGAAACCTGTCTCGTGACATATATTTCCCGAATAAAGGTGTTGGTATTGTCTTGTCCTTGCTCCAATAGTCATTTATTGCATGTTTGTGACAGTGCTTCATCAACAAACAGAGTGCCAAAAACACATACATTTCCGCCACTGTGGTATTTTTCCAACGCTGCAGTCGTGAAAATTCTGTGATTTCCCTCTCAATCAGGTAAGCAGCATGCAGGTTCGTTTGGTGTACAATGTATTCCATGAGTGGTTCATCATAGAATGCTGTAAAATATTCCATCTCAGCCATGTCCTCACCTTGATTAGGGAAAAGGTTTGTAATCCCTACATCTTTATCGTCAAAGTGAGGAATATTAGGAATAAAATCGTCACCATCACTCCACTCAAGTACACCAGGCGTCCTGCGAGATGCAGAGGAAAGACGGCGAGGAAGCGATGCATACCGGCGACCAGGAGCTGAATACCGTCTGCGAGAAGCACGGCGGCTACGTGCACGTGAGGTGGGTGCACGTGAGGTGGGTGCACGTGAGGTGGGTGCACGTGAACACGAGGGTCTTGGTCCCTCATGTGGTGCCATGCGGTGGCGCTTGGCCGGGCGAGATGCTGCTGACGCGACAATTTCTCGCCCAGTTACACCACTGGTACCAGCCACAGGCTCAATAAAACTTTGATCTGAGTCACTAAACCCAGAAAAGGAGTCACCTCCCTCTGACTCGTCACCCTCAAACAGAAAATATCCACAGGAACTGTGAGGTCGTGGTAGAATTGGGGTAGAAAATGGGCGAGGAGGCATGGGAGAGCGTATAGGCCTCGCCATGGCATGGCGGTCATTCTCACTTTCACTGCTGCTGCTACTATCACCCGACAACTGTGTATAATCCTCATCGTTGTCTGAATCGTCAAACACACTTTCTTCACCTTCAGAGAATAATTCGTGGGCTATTTGCTCTGGGGTGAGGGACTGAGTGGTGCGTGCCCGTGAGGCGTTTGACCGTGCGCTCGCCATGGTGACTCTCGCTAAACTGAGGCCTCCCATGCCATCGGATCGTGAGCTGGATTTTTTTTCAAAATGGCCGCTGTTTACTAGAGCCCCTGGGCAGCGTATGGGACCCCCAGCTACACCGCGGGCCATTCAAATCGTGCGCGGTACCCATACACTTCATATGAAGTGAAGCGCAGTTGACTGGTAAAACGATTTACACTTCATATGAAGTGATGCGCACTTTAAGGGTTAACAAGTGAGAACTAAAGTGGACTGTGCTTACCTATCTGTAACTACAAGGGAGTAAAATCTAGCTCATTATACCCCGTCTCTTAGCCATTCATACCTGGCACATTATTAGGCGATGTTGTAATCACAAGCTGAACGTCCGCCTTGACTGCTCACTCAGTACTGAGGCTCTCACACCCGGGAATGTTGCCCACGATTTTTTTTTTAAATGGCGTCTGTTTACAAGAGCCCTGAGGAAGCTGATGTGAACCCCATGTAGTTGCAGGAGTTTTGAATCATACGCTAAAAATATAAGATACCGGAGGAGCATTGTGCACCCCTCATCAAGCGCCTACAGGCACGTTGCGCAGTTCAGTGGTTAAGAGGAAAAAAAGAGGATATTATCAATACATACAAGATCCTGAAGAGAATTTACAGAGTGGACAAAAGATGCCTATTTAAGTTAATAAGAGGTAGGACAAGGGAACATCAGTGGAAGTTGGACATGCAATCGAGTCCTAGAGTTCTAACAAAGTTCTTGTACAGGTGGTTAGCAACTTTTTATAAAAAAAGAATATGATGAAAATAATGTTGAGAGAGGGAATTAGCATGTCAGATATGAACAGCTAGAAGGTGGAGCATAAAGAGCTAGATGTTGCTCCCCTGTAGTTATTGATAGGTAAGCACTTCCTTGGCTCTGATAGTATGTAACTAATATGGATTTCTGCCTCTATCTCCAGTCTGGTGCATTGCATAACACTGGTGCTAGTCTGTACGAATATACAGGGAAGTACACTTTATATAAAAGTGTACTTCCCTGGAATTTTCCCTATCTTCTGAGGTGGCCTCATGTAGAATCTTCTCCCTGATATTTAAATGAAGACATCAAGGAGCACTTGAAATGTTTACAAAAATACTTCCACATTCTTCTGTGGCTAGCACATACACGAAGCAACTTTCACCTGTTTGCCAAACATTTAGATGTTTGATAGTACAGATGAAGAAAAGGGAAACAAAAGAAAAGTCTCACAAAATGGATAGAACATTATGAATAACAAAGGCCATGTGAAGATTGGGAAAATGGAACAGACCATCAGGTGGCATGGCAGTGTAAGTGAAGCAAAATACAGAAAATGGTAGTCCTTTTGTTTTCCCACAATAGTGCTCTGATAGGTATGTGGTGACATTAAGAGGTAAAGAAGGAATTTAAGGACAAACAAGTCATAAACAGGAGCAAAGATAAATCTATAAAAGAATGAACCAGTTGACTGAATAGAACTAACACAACAATAGAGCTAAAATGGCTGCTTAAAGGAATACAGAAAACAATAATAATAAACAAGACAATGATTTTGGAAACAATTATGGAAAATCAGAAATTGTACTGGAAACTTGAAGAGGGCAGAAGGAGAGAAAGGTGTTGGTGTTCCGAAAGAAAAATTAACGAGTCAGAAGATTTTGTTGTACGTCACAATAAAATGTGAAGAGATTACAAGACTGTGACCGGTGCAGAAAAACTGGAAAAGGTTACAGAAATATAAGTATTAAGGATCAGTACTCAGAAAACATACCACATTGAAGAAAAAAAATAAAGGGGAAAGAAATGCAAAAGAAGGAAGAATGACAAGTAAATTAAGGTAAGTTCCAGGAGGATGTAGAGGCCCTAGATGGAGACATTGCATTATAGGTAATTAATCAAATAAAGAGAGTACAAAGGAAATTATATAATAAAGAGGATGTGTTAATATTACCAGGCAATGTGGTGAAGTTTCCAACGGAAGAAAATGGACCAAAGCCCTTAACATTGCGAGCCTGCATTTTGTAGTAGTAGAGAGTTGATGGAGTCAATCCATGAACAGTGGATGTCATCCGATCTCCAAGTACCTCTTCCATTACCCAGTCTCCTGCTGCATCTGTTGTGTAGAATATTAAGTACCCTGGAAATAGTTGGAGAAATATTAGAATAGAAAAATGAGTTATTAAATCAAATCTTTTACCTTTTTATTGTATTTTTCATATACAATAATTTTTATTGTATATACACTGAACTGTATATATCACTGTCCTAGTGATCTACACTAACCCTAGAGTGTTGTTTGGGTTGGGGATTCAGTTTTCCTGTGTGTTGGGGATGTTTGTTCACATTGTTTGCTGTTCGGGGATTTCATAGATGACCCAGCCAGTTTCAAAGAATGAATCTGCTTTATGCATATTAATTCTTGGAACATTCATTCATTTATTCATTTAAGCATTGAGGTTCAGGTGTGACCTTCAGTGTTTAATAACTCTGGTGTCAATCCTGCTGCCACTGGCATGCCTTTTGTTAGGTACCAGGTCTATTTTATAAGCCCATGAAAAACATTTATCATAGGCTGCTGTCTGTCTTGGCTGAACCTTCGACATATATAGCAGCTCATGAGGTAGCGATTCATTCGAGGGCTTGCACCCTCCATTATAGCTTATTGTAGTCCTCAATTTTAGCTGGCAGGGAATAAAAGGTTTCTTTCCAAGTAGCCCTTTAGTAGCTTCACATTCCAGCCCTTTAATTCCCATCTTGCCAGAGGTTTTGGGTAAGAAGGACTTTGGAGTGAGACCATCCTACCTTTGGCCATCCCTCCCTTGAGGTTATCTTGAGGTTATCTTGAGATAATTTCGGGGCTTTTTTTTTTAGTGTCCCCGCGGCCCAGTCCTCGACCAGGCCTCCACCCCCAGGAAGCAGTCTGTGACAGCTGACTAACACCCCAGGTACCTATTTTACTGCTAGGTAACAGGGGCATAGGGTGAAAGAAACGCTGCCCACTGTTTCTCGCCGGCGCCCGGGATTGAACCCAGGACCACAGGATCAAGTCCAGCGTGCTGTCCGCTCGGCCGACCGGCTCCCCCTGGTATTAAGAAGTGCTGGCACCTAGTGGTGGCTGGAGTTGTTAGTTCTTGGGATTTATTTGTGTCAGGACGGTTAGACAATTTGCAAGATCATTTGTCCTTCTAGATGCCACTTAAGAACTTAGCAGATTGCCAGTCCCCTGACTGGGTCCAGTACAGAAGACTAACAGAACTACCATGCTGTTCAAAAAGGTGTATTTCATTGTAAATTTTCTTTGCTTAAAGATAGTTATTTTTGTAAATAATTATCATAGCACCATAATTACAAATTATGTAGGTAATGTATACAGTATTCATACCTGTAATTTTGCCATTGCTCTGTTTGGGTGGTTGCCAATTGAATATTGTAGTTGAAGGCTCATCAGGAATTGTAACAACTGTGACATCCCTTGGTGGAGACGATGGCCTAGCAACCAAAGTTGTGTTGGAAACCACAAGACTCCATGGAGACTCACGTCGTCCCTGTCAGAAATAAAACCAGTTTAGAGACAATGTTATAATTCCAACCTAAAATAACAACTCTGATTTTGAATAATGCATAATTACTTATTTCTAGGCAGATTTATGCTATATAATGTAGTCCCACAAAATACAGATATTTTGAAAAGTTTGACACTTTTTTTTCTACCAAAGCATTGAATTTAATATCCAGTGCATCAGGAAGAAGTTTATGTAATTATAAATATAATGATACCTGCACATCTACAATATATCAACTACCTGAAGTTCCAGGTAGTTGGAACTACCATTTACACTAACAAATGTAAATGGACTTTATCATAAAACAATAATTTATGGACAAAAATAAACTTACAATGACACTGACATTTGCACACCTTCATTATGCTCCATCATCTAACAGCTGCTGTAGTGGCTTTCATAAAATAATTACTTTGAACTACTGATATACAATAGTTGAATGAAAAACCCAAAGCATCTTCTGAGTATAATTTATATTAACCATAAAAGTCATAAAATATCATCAATATACTGTTTATATATATGAAACAAATATGAACATTTTCAGCTCAATTCACAGACAAGTGTAAGAGGAGTTCAGTTAACATACAGTGTATACCATCATACCATATGACAAACACAAATGTTTCCTCGCTGTAAAGATTAATAAACAAAATATGCATATTTGGATATATATACATTCCCTCAGCCAACTGGAATGTTTGTAAACACACCTATCAAGTCATACAGTATGAGAAGGACAAATATGCTGATGAATCTAATTGATATGCAGAGTTGCAGGCTGCAAATAGCAATAGACTGGCTGATGTAGCAGTTAACTAAGGAGTTTGTGCATAGACTAAAGAGGATGAGAAGACTTCTAGCAACCAACTCTAATAAAAGATTTTGAAGCAAGCAGCCAATTAAAAAATATATATATAATATATATATATATATACTGTATATATAATTTCAGAAACCAATGATCATTACCTTTGTAGTTTTAACTGCAAACTCATACATTGTGGAGGGCTTCAGATTATCAATAAGGCAGGTAACATCAGTTGCATTGACATAACGATATCGAGGACTGGATGATGAGGCAGAGGAGTATGTTGTGTATCGAACAGTGTAGTATCTCGTGTCACTTATGTACTGCAAAAATAGTGATCATATTAATAAGAAGCAGAGTTTATCAAACATTTCATGGCAAAAATTATACAACTGGTAAATAATTTAAATTTATTATCATCATAATCATTAAAGTAATTTCTTAGATTTAGAATGGAGTAACATTCAAAACTCCTCAATCGTATCAATTATAGACAAGTTAACATGTTAGAGACAAAACCTATAAAAAATACCTAAATATTAACAGAAGCATAATGTTCATTATACTTAGGATTAGCACGTAAAAACAAATAAAATGTATTTGGAACTGTGCTCAAAAAATGAACAAAAATATATTCGCGGCAATTCGCTCGCCCCGCCCCGGGCGCCCTTCTGGCCCCGGGAGAGTATGTCACAGGCGAACGGGGAATGATGACGTCATGCGCCAACTTACGGACCCCATAGCAGCCAAAGTAAGTACAATTTCAAATTTTTTTTGACATACCCATACTGAGGAAAGGGTTTTTGACACTTTAAAAAAACAAAAGAATTTTTTCAAGATAATTTATTTCCTGCGCAATGAGGGGGTGTCATATTTGGAGGCAGCGCAGTTAAAGGGTTAAGACACCCACAGGTACAAAAGTACACTACAAAGTTGAATAAATAATCCGTGGTAAATGGGCAATACAGAAAAAGGAAAATGTATCAAGCTAGCAGCAAACAGTCTTAGGTGCAATCCTCAATGAGAAGGAAATGTTAGGTTATAAATAATATTTAGCAAGTTTCCAAAGAATAACCACATCCCCATTGGATTATATTAAGCCAAATGAGGGAGGTGTACATTCTTATCTCACTCAGTCTGTGGCAATGACTCAAGACCATCATAATGGGTTCACTTATAAATACTGTTCCCTTGCTTCCACTATGAAGTATGGAGGGAAGAAAGGTTCCCATTTCTTTCTTTCTTCGAGAGTGCTGCTTCTAAGAGCAACAGAGAAAAAGACGGACTTCTGCTATTACAGTATTAACCAAACATAGTTGTAATTATTACTTTAAAATATCTTAATAATATTGAAAGGAAACTACTGTATAACTGAGGCTGTAGACAGGTTGGCCTTATTTAATAATTTTGTTCAATACAACTACCGTCAAATAAACAAAAATTATCATAATATCTTTCCTATTAGGATTGTATTTTATTATGTATAGTTATCTGTAGCAGTGTGGGTTTACTTTAAAAGTACTAAATATTATTTTATAATAGTACCTATTCACTTAAGAGGATATTTAAGCCTTATAGATGTTCCTTAAAAAGGTAACATCTCTCTAGTATTCCTGGGGAAGATATTCAGAGAGGAGTCTGAGAATATGGTACAAGTATTGAGGTGGGTCCATTAAGTTTGTTTCTCACTAAATATGTGGAACTGTCTATAATTCTAAGATAAGACCTTGGACAGAAATCCCAAATTAATAATAAGTAATCCACATGAGGTGGTTCGGCTCTTGAAATCCTGAGGTGTATACGGTGCTGCCTCCTGGTGGTGGTGGTGGTGAAGATAGTCAGGCTAACAAACAAATAATTCGTGAGAACCTTCGGTTGGCAGTCATTCATGATGCCAAGGGAGTACTTTGAAATCATTTGAGATTTTATCAAACTACCTCTCATTCGTTTTAGGCTGCACCGAGTGATTTTCAGTTATTCCTTAGCACCTTTGTATGACCCTGTTGTGATTATTATGACTGTAGCCAGTAAGATCTAGCTCTTTATACCCCACCTCCTAGCCATGTATGCCATCTTACAGACTTGGTACATTATGATACATAATGTACTATGTACATTATGTATGTACATTATGATACATAATGTACTATGATACATAATGTACTATGATACATATGTATACATATCTAGCAATTACTGGACAGATGTTTTTGTTCTTTAGTAGAGTTTGGTATCTTCAAATTAAATGTTTGATCATTTGCAATAAAAAACTATTCATAAAGCAAATACATTGCACTTATTAATTTCTTACAGATTGCTTATACAGAAATTTGCTACAGCTTTAATATCCACTAGAAAAAGACAAAACTGTCCATCACAAACCTGGTTACGATTAAGAGTAGTATCTGTCCATTGCAGAGCCACTGTGAAAGAAGTGAGAACTACAGCTTTCAAACCCACTGGAGGCGTGAGTGTTGCTGCTACCGCTTCTTCAGTTGGGCGTGTGCGCACTTGCTCATATACTGGCTGCCCATCCCCAACATTATTAAAAGCACGAAGACTGATAACATATTCAGCATTTGGGTCTGCAATGTAGCAAATTCTCAATTAGTTTCAATAAGTTAAGATCATAAGCATGAAAACAATTTTGTTAATTTTATGACCTATGGATTTTTTATTAAAATAAATGTAATAAAAATACAAAATACATAAAATTATTATCTCTAAAAATTATAAGCTTTTAATGCAGACCGTAGATATTAAAATAAAGTTCATTTGCAGGAAACAATTAACTACTTCAAGGAAAAGTTTCAGTGTTCAGGAAACTGCTATATATGTATTGTGAAGAGAAAACAGCTTCAACTAAATATCAAATTGAATGCCAACAGGTGACCGTGAGGTAACAACTTTATTCCCAAGTTCATACCTGCCTTAAGATGCACGTGAAAGTTTAATTACAATATTTTAAATAAAAAGTCAATAGTTGGATATATGACTGACATATACAAAAGAATAATAATAAGTATACTTTGGTATTACTGCACGACATTATATTTCATAATCTACAAATAATTAAGCTATCTAAGCAGATTAAAAGAAATGATACAGAAATTGTAATAAAAATAATATACAAATAATTTGAGTGAAGAAAGAAATATTAAATAAGAGCTCAGAAAGAAAATGTATGCTGATTAAGGAGGTGTGGTTATTCACAAATGGGAGAACAATGATGCGAGGTAAACAAAAATATAAATGATATTTTGTAAATATTATCATTGTGTATAACTGGCGAGAGTATTGTTGATAACTTTGTGATTTTTTGTTAAACACAAAAAATTATTCTTTACCTAAATCTTCAATTACATAGCTTCTCTGTTTACTATCTACAATCTTGGAGTAAACATCGGGTATGCCACGACCCCAGCCAATCGTGTATCCCCGCATCATCACATTATGAAGAGCTGGGGGTTGCCACCATACCCTAATATGGTCAGTCAGTGCAACAGCTATGAGGAAAAACATTATTATTATTAAAATTAAGTCTACATTTTGCTAAGAATGCTTTTGCTTGAATTTTTCAATTCAAGAAAGCAATTGAAGGGCCTGCACTTAAAAATAGGGTGTTAAGTGAAATAGAATGCTTCTTTCTGAGCCGGTCCCTTGATTACTCCTGTCCCTTCATTTTTTGTCTTGTTTTCTACGAGCTTCCTAGGTGGCCTTGACAAGTTTGGTGTTGTGGTGGTAGTGCTGTTTGCCCTGCCAATAGCAAAGTGATGACTGAAATTATTTGACATAAATGTTCATTTGGAGAGGGTTTATCAAGCCTAAAGTTCGCTCTTTTATGTGAGAGTAAGTTGGCCTATTGGTAGCGGCTTGAGTTTCACTACCATCTAACCTTCCTCAACTACATGGTGAAACTATTTGGAATGCTAGGCCTGTTGGACATGGTGGTAAAACAGGTCACTAGAATTTGGCAGGCAAAAGGTGTCCTTATAGACCCACTGACTATATGCCACTGATAATCGACTTGACTTGAACACAATCGACTTGAGAATGGACTAGGACGGACCGAAACGTCGTCGTCCCTTCACTTTCTAGTGTGGTTTCGTCAACAATATATGCCACTGACTTAAAGAAACAGAGAGAGATTTGCTCAGAAAGAAGCATTTTATTTCACTCAATACCTTATTTTTCAAAGCATGCATTTAACCATTGGATTTTAGAATATTATTTTAATTTTATTATGAGCATGTAAATTAAATCTTGAGTGTAAATTATTTTAAAGTTACATATAAACAATATGGATAAAATTTGTCACCCTTCAGATTGATTGGCTTGTCTGGCACACGATTCTCATCCAGGTCATTAGCAAATGTTTCGGCCAGGTTCCAGTGTGTATATGGACCCGTTCCATTAACTGTGAGGGCTGCCAACTGTAAATAAATTATAACACATTGTATTATAAAGAAATATAAATAAGACCAAAATGATTGCAATACAATGCCTTACAGAACACCTATTGTCATCCTCTCTTCTGAACAAAGACTAAAGCTATTTTTAACGAGATGCTCAGAGAACTATAAATACGAACTGTAGAAGCCAGCATGTATTACTAAGGGATGAGAGACGCACAGAAACTCACCTTAATGGAGTACTGAGTGCTCCTCTTCAGGTCTGTGAGAGCAAATAACCGTCTGTTTCCATCTGTGGTCTTTGTCTTGGTGGAGCCAGTTTTTCCTTTTTCCTTGTATCGTATTTTGTATCCAGTTATAACACCATTCTGATGCTCTGTGGGAGGTGGCTCCCACCTTATGATAAGACTCTGAGGAAATTTTCATCATTATATTTCAGATGTTAATATACGTCTAACTCAATACTGTATTATAAAAATCTACAAGAACAAATTGAATAATAAATTTATGAAAAGTGTAAACTGTTCAGTGAATGTCCTCTAACATAACCCAATGAAATGGGTGATCAGAAACAATGAAATGATTCTCATCTAGTTAGTGCTAAGATTAATTAATGTTTCCATGTGAATTTGTTATCACAGTCTGCACATATGCATGTTTTATTCTACAAGTTTATAAAAAAAACGTTAATTGTGGCAAAAGTTAAAAAAAAAAAAAAAGTTTAAAAAAATTAGATGGGTCCAGAAACAAACATTCAGTTTGAGCAGGAATCCACTGTGCATAAACCTTCAATATTGGAGAATAAAATTATCAATATATTTGAACTTACTCTTGAACTAGCTGCCTCAACAGTCACATTCTGAGGTTCTCTTGAAGGCATATCAGAATAGGTTCTAGCAGTGACTTCGTGGGTTGCATCTCCAGCGCCATTAGCATTAACAGCTACGAGCCATACACTATACTCCGTAAACTGACTGAGACCTTGCAGATCATACGAGGTACCGGTAACTTCTACTTCATGCTCTTCAGCTGAACCAACCTTGAGAATAAAGTGACAAAATAATAAAATGCTATTTACAATTTGATTAAAAAGACACAAACAGCCCAATCATTAATATAAAATGTTGTGAGAACTATCTTACAATATTTAATGCATTGTTTGCTATTTTAAAACAATTCTGTAATGAAAGTAAAAGTCCCTAAAGTTGTTTCCTAAAGCAAGATCCTACTGATCTCTGGCTAGAATCTGCCACAGTGAGAGCAAGTTGACATTCAGCACCGGCATGGTGTTACAGCTGCAGTTGCTGGTTCTGGATCTGGCTTCATCTCAGTTGTCAGATGTCCATACTTCTCTGACTCCTAACAGAGATAGGGGTTCTGGTATGCATGTTGCTCAGGTACTTGCTGCTCTACCTTCACACACTGCAGTTCCACCATAGGTGAATTCTCAGCATTCACCAAAGTCTGACAGGGTTTCCTCCCACCAGCCCTTGGTACCAAGATGCCTTGGCATTTTGAGACTTCATAAGGTCTTTAGTGAGTCTTCACCTCTCTGGTTCATTACTGGTTTCCAGCCCTTCTGGCTTGTTGTCCCAATCCTCTAACCGTCCCAAGTCTGCACACCTTGAAGCAGATCTGCAGTTTGGCTCTCCATTGATCTTTGCATATGGAGTTCTTAGGCCATGCTTGCTGTCAACTGTATGGGGGGTTGGGTGGCAGACCAGTTGCTATTGTATTTATGGCTATCTTAGTGGAAATAATTAAGGTGGCTTGGCCGGCTTTCCTATTTTTTACACATGACTAATAAGCCTTATCCAACTAGCAGATTTCCCTAAAATACAATCTGCCAATCAATTTACAACCAGGTCCCCAATTACTACTGGGTGAAGAGACAAACAGTTAAGAATTGGTGCCTGGTCAATCCTCCTTGGCCAAGGCTCAGGGCTTTTGACAATCCAACCATTTGTAGGCCTATTGCTACATGGAAGCTGTCCCTTAACATTCTGTGTGGAGCTGCTGATGTCCTGCTTTAGGGCCTCTTCTACTGCCTTAACCTACAGGTAAGTCCAGTCCATTTTTTATGATTTCTTAATCTTTTGTTTATCTTTCAGAAGAGCAAGTAAGTAAGTAATTATCAAAAGAAGGCACTAAATCCGAGAAGGCTATGTAGCACCATCAAATGTGCGGAATAATCAGAGGGCGCTAAATATCACCAAGGATGCCAATACGAGAACAAAAACGCATAAGGCGAACGATATCAAAAGTACCCGAGTCACCAAGAATTCTATTGAGGGACAGGCGACCGCGAGGGGCGTTTAGAAGAGCAAGCTTCCTATGCTGAGGCGCCATTCTTATTAGTTAGCTACAGGGAGCTACTACGAGGGCCCTGCCAAGAATCTGGTACCTGGATTATACCTGGATGAGGTTTTAGGTGTTCTACTCCTCAAACCTGGGTCAGACTTGACTTGTAAACACCCATAATGAGTAATGAAACACCCTTAACTAGTAAGCCACTCAGTAGCTCCCTGTCCCCAATATATTCCCATTTTTCTCATAGGTGATGGGAAGGTATTATAAGAACATAAGAAGGAAAGTATAAAGAAAACTACAGAAGGGATATTGGCCATTTGAGGTAGCTCTTATTTGTATCCACACAAACACATTTATATATATACAGTATGTCTAACCTATGCTTGAAACAATTCAGCAGTCCTATGTCTATCATGTTACTCTAATTTGTTCCATAAATCAACAATTACATCAACTGGTAATTTTTTCAGGAAGCTCGTGAATGAGTTGGTCAGCTATTAAGGATTCTGGGTGATCTGGGCTGCCATCTAGTGGCAGTTAGTTGAATCCTGGAAAGGGGTGTTTACCTGGCAGCAATGATTCTTTGCCTCACTTTCCACAGGGTTACTAATTTCCACCAAGCAGTAGTTGCAGGAGCAGGAGGAGTAGTTGCAAGCAGGAGTGTAACTCAGAGACCTGGTGCAATTTCCTAAGGATTAATGGCCCAAATGCAATAGCTATGGGAAGCTATTGAGTAGCCTAATAGAAAGGGGCATTTTATTACACACAACTCTTGATTTTTGTGGTATGTGTCTGAATCTGTAGTCATCTATATTTCTGGAGCAAATCAACCAAGTGGCTTCCTTAAAATGAAACTTTTCATCTACATTCAAAACTTTACTTATATCTTGTTTTCTTAATCACTGAGGAGGCAGTCATTAAAGTTTCATTATCCTCTGTAGTCAGAATATTTTTCAGAATTTCTGTTATGTTTACAAAAGTGGTAATTTTATCAGTATAGAACTCTCTCATATTGAGGAATTTTGCATGGACAACAGCAGAGGACAGCTGACAACTTGCAAAATTGTGATACTTTATACAATTAAATAATGCCCAAATCTATAGGCATAACTGCTTAATTATTTTAGAAACATCCTGCCCAATTGTTGGGTTAGTTTTCCATTTGGTGGTGGTGTCTGCTGGTGCCAAATGAGATTCTTACCATGTGGTGGCAGTCTATGAGGTTACACATTGCTTGCTTATATTTTTTTATGTACTGGTAGACTTCAGATGTTTTGTGTCATTTTTGTGATTTTTGTTTTTTCTTTCACTGAATAGTACTATTTCTCATTTGGGTAGTGGTAGGATTACAGTACAGTGCACACAGTGTCCATGTCTAATTGAACCTCCTCCATTACATCTAAATGCATCCACATAACTGGGTTGTATTTTAATGGAAATATGTTGGAAGGTAAAGAAAGAAAAATGTGCAGTGCTTGACTGTAGACAGTCAAGAGAAAGTACTCTATAATAGCCTTGACATTTTGGAGAGAACAACTGATGATAGATTTTAAGGATAAGCAATTTACAAGCATTAAAGTGATGGGTAAGCAAACTATTTCATGGAAAGGGAGGGTGTATTGAATACTAATGGAATAAGATGCTTGATCAACCAGATTATACATCAGGCTGTGAGTAGCTACATCTAACAGCCTGGTTGACCAGATCACAAACCGGGAGGCCTGGTCAGGAAACTACTCAGCGGGAACATTGATCCTCAGAACCAATGCAAGGTAAGCACAAGGTAATAAAATAGAGAATTCAGAACATACTAGAAAATTAAGCTCTGATAAGGATACCTTGAAGAAGAATTCAGTTAAAATATTTTAAATAACAATATCATAAAAATGAATACATACCTGCATATAAAACATTGTAAATCCAGTAATAGGCGTCTTTACTGTTTGTGGAAATGACCATGTGACTTGTAAACTAGTTGGGGAGGTGGGAATGACTTTAAGACTTTCGGGTGCTGATGGTAAATCAAGATCAGGCTTTGTATAAACAGGCACTTCATCACTAGATGCTCCAACCAGACCATTTGATGTATGAGCCACCACTCGCACTAAATAGTTACTTCCAGGAATGAGGTGACTAATTTGTGTTTTGTATTCATCCAGGCCCTCACTTGATGAGCTGGCACTGACATTCTGCACACGTTCCCTGTGGTAAGTTAAACAATTTTTGAGAATGCAAAGTAAATCATTTAAGAATGAAAAAGAAAGTTAATTTGGAGATTATATGATCATTTATGTTCAAAAATAGCAATGAACTAATTATCTTTCTGTAGCTAACATTCTGATACTTTCCATCAGATCAACAGCATTACTAGAGTAAACAAAATAATGTATTACCTAGGAGAACCCTCCTGCCTATAAAATACAGAATATCCAACAATATGATCATTGTTCTTCTCAGGTTCATGCCATGCTAGTGTGATGAATCTATTACTGGCAATTATAGCTTGGAGATGTCTGGGAGCTGAGGGAGACAGTGGATGGTGTCCACCACCAATATCCAAGGAATCATCACTCTCACTACCATCTTCCTCTGGTAATAATCCACCCTTGGAAACACCTGTGGGAATATATACAGGTATCTGACTTTTAATATATTCAAATTTCTTGGTCTAAAATTATTTAACAATAAAAATATTCCATGTATAATTAATGGTTTTACTATAAATCATTGCTGTTATATTGAAAAAGAATACAAAACATATTAATGAAAACAACCAAGTCATTAATGAAACTATTATGGACAAAACTACTGTATTAAACATAACTGCTCTATATATCAACACAGCACAGAAATTCAGGGTCAAGTTTAAATTAAACATTATTTTCCAGTGGGCCAATCAGTAGCTCCTGGAGGCTATAACCAGCAATGACCAAGCCATGGGAACCTTCACCATGCCTCTGAAAAAAAAAATAATCCATGAACACCTACCAGGGACCAGGACAAGACTCTGGCCCCCCTCCACGAGGTGAAGAGTGTTTGGGGATCAGAGATCACCACAGAACTGAGCAAAAAGCCAACCAGAAAGCTGAAGTGCTCTGAAACAAAGAACTGCAGGTAAACACCCATAAAGATATGCAGCCCACGTGACCCAGGGTCTCAGCCAGCCAGCTACCCCAGGAGACAACCCACAAACTCCCATGAGAGAGAAGGGAACAGAGCATGAACAGGTATTTCATTACATTCAGAACTAGATTTACAAGAGGGTGCCCCACACTAGATACCCGATACTGTATAACCTCGAAAGAGAAAACCAGCCTTCTGAGAGAACCATTCCAAAACGGAAAAGACAACCAGAGCTGACCTTTAGGAGCAAAGGCAAAATAACACACTAAGGGTTGAAGACCAGAGACCAGGGGCCATGTTGCGATAGAGTCCAGAAGCTTGGAACTCTGCCTCAGCCAGAATTCCCTGAAATGCCCTCATGGAATAAACACCTGGAAGAAACCAAGTGAGAGTCGGCCAAACATGGCCCAGGACCAGATAGACAACATGAAGTGGCAGAAAATCAAAAATGCTTAAACCAGAGATATAAAGTACAGCTGGGGAACACACCCAGTTGACACAACCCAGAACTACATGAGGAATCAGTGGGGATAGAATGCCTTGTTACCTCCACCAGAGAAACTGATGAGGTAGCCCCAGAAGCTGCTCCTTGAAAGCACCCAATCAATGAAGCCTATAAGCCCTGCTCGATGCTGCCCTTGAAAGCCCCCCCAATCACTAGAGTCTATATCTCCTACCCAAAGCTGCTCTGGGGCCTCTGTCCAACAAGGAAGACTGAAAAGCTGAGGAGCAGAAGCCAAGCAGCAGAAGCCGAGTGGTAGAAGATGGACAAGTTGGTCCCACGACAATAAATGGGGCGGCACATAAAGGTGAAGGAGCAAATTTGCCATAAGAATATCAATCCAACTGCAGAATTTATCCCACATGAAATGGCATCTACTGCCCAACTGCCAGGTTCTGTCAAAGACAGGAAGCAGGAGGCTCGACCCCATAATGCAGCTTCAATCCCCTAAACTGTTGATTACAAAGGAAGCTTGGTTTAAAACAGCAATTAAACAGAGGCAAACATTGTAGGAGTGATGGCAACAACAACAGTGTGTCAGCAGCCAAGAGCACAAACACTCCCTTCAGAAAACCACACGGTGGTTTCAGGCTGGGATCACTCCGGCAAGTACTTGTGGGTTTGTAGAGGACGGGTGTGATCCCCAAAGCCTAGTCATTGCAAGGTTGTAACAACAGGGAGCTACTGAGGGGACCCTTCCAAAAAATTTCAGATGCAGCATTAAAAGACTTACCTTTAAAAATTTAAAGCCATAACTTTATGAAGGGAAAGTGATTTTTTATAAAATATATTTATATGATGAAAGGATATCTTGATAGGATAATGTTCATACTTTCATACCCACTGCTTATTTAATTGGTAGTTGTTAAAAGCATAATTACAGCTTACTGCTACATATGTACAATATAATAAGTATAAGGTAACAAAGTGAAATGAGCTTTTGAATGAGAAGTGAATATACAAAAACAGCACAGGACCTATCTCATTTCCTTCATGCAAAGGGACTATATTATTTACTTAATAAACACACTGTGATCGAGACCATTTCCAATACGGACTAAACAATTCTGCACACAAGTTTCTAGCTACACATCCATACTAACATTATGCATTATGCATTACTAATGCATTACTTTGCATTATGTTATGACCCTTATGTTCTTCAAACAATAGGGTCTGAATTGCACCGACTGAGCACAGTCTTTCAACACCGTGTGGGACAGGTGTTTGAGAGCCAGAGGCACGTGTGCTACAAATGGTTGCTCACGCAGTACTAACCCAGCCAGCAGCCCTTGTCTTTCATATTCGTTATAGCAAAAGGTTCGTTCAGTGTTTGTTGGGTAGGCTGCTCCAATATGACAATCTTTCTTTGTTTCAAATGTGTTCCATTTGTTTTGTATTTGTCACTTACATCTCAATAATGGAGCAGCCTACCCGACAAACACTGAACGAACCTTTATGGCATTTGTCCATTTTTCATATTGTTTCAACAGTTCTTTTATTTTTCGTTTTTTTTTTTATTTAAGAAACATGGAGCAGCCGACCTGCCGACCACCGAACGAACCTTTTGCTATACGACAAATGAAAAATAAATATTGAACACATTTGAAGAAAGGAAAATGTCATAATGGTTTATTCAGTGTATGTAAGGTAGGCTTCTCCATTATTGAGACGTAAATGACAAATACAAAACAAATGGAACACATTTGAAACAAAGAAAGATTGTTATAATAGAGCAGCCTACCTGCCGAACACCGAACGTACCTTTTTGACATTTGTTGTATATCAGACATTTCATTTCTTTTTTCCTACAAAAACGTCAATGCTTTGCAACATCTCAGCAGTCACCCTTTTATATCCCAGCATCATTAGCATCTTTAAACAAGAACAACATAATTTATGTGCATCGTCGGAGGCGTCTAAGAATGTGCAAGCAGCAGCGCGACCCCACCATGTGGTGTTGACGTTACTCAAACCAGCGTTCGTCATACGGGACGATTTGATGCCGATCGGGCTGTTCGTTACCCAAAATGTTCGTCTTTTGGGGCGATCGTTATGCGAGGTACCACTGTATTTATATATTTAATCAAATTCCAAATTCTAAGTCAGCATCATTTAACAGAACTATACTAAAATACTTAAGAAAACAAATTAATATAAATTATATTTCCTAGGGAAAGTCATGCAATTACCATATTATACTATGTATGATCAACATTAAATTTTATTGATGACTATCAATTGTACTATCAGACCTATCAGCAGAAATGCTTCACTTAGCACATGATACCACCCCAAGTACAGTGTATTTTGACTCCAATGAGCAGACTCGTACTGAAACCCTTAATCTGTAAGTGAAGTTTACTTTTTTACAGTTTACAATTTTTGTTTGAAGTTTACAATTTTACACCTAATTTTATGTTTTTATTTTTCCCAGCTGTTTAGCACCATCTGCAAACATGTTCATTTAATTCTGTATCCCTTCAGGTACATCATTAAAATATATACAATGAACATTACTGGTGCTATTGAGCCTTGTGGGACCCCCACTCACTCAGTTATATTATTATTATATAAATGACTGCTTCTTACTATATTTCCTTTATATGAATGAATACAGGTCTCATTTACTCATTTACAAAGTCATTCACTTCTCTAACTCAACATTTATCTAAACTCTATTTAATATGAACTTTATCAAGTTGGATACCTTTCACTTTAGTACTCAACAGACATTATACATGCATATTTCAAACATTCACCAACAATAATTTCCTGACAAAATTCAATATGCTTTTTAAGCTTTTTGACAAGCAGAAAGACCAAAAGATTCACTGGACAAGCATACACAATACAAAAGTGCATAAATAAATACAGTGCCGTATATAACGTACCTCTACAATTCAATTTAACTTGAAAATGTGCAACTCTTTAGTAGGACCAAGTTATCTATAACAAAATGGTCCCTCACTGGTAAAGGCCATAGGTTCAAATTGCATTTAAACAGAACTAGTGCGCCATTCTAGTTGAATTATACAGACATCACCACCATAAAACGGATTAATTTAATCTATCCAATTACCAATACATTACTGAACTTTGAAATAATTTTACTTTAAAATGTTACAGATGGAAAAGCAAACCATCCTCCAAAATGAGAGTACATATAGCAACTGGAGGTACAGTATATGTATAAAAGGACAGCAATGGGAGATACAGTATATGTATAAAATGATAGCAACCAATAAGGCATGTGTATTATAATAGGCCTAGGATGATATTTTAGGTTTAGAATGTTATTTCTCTGGCTGGGGAGTATTTACTGGGCACCAATCCTTAACTATAGCCTCTGTTTACCCAACAGTAAAATAGGTACCTGGTTGTTAAATGATTTGGCGGGTCGTATTCCAGAGAATATTAGGATTAAGAACTTGCTGTAAAGCTATGCATGCTAGTGGCTTCACAAGAATGTAAGAACTCTTGTATATATATATAAATAAATAAAGAAATTTCAGGTTATTTTAGGCCTAAGATATATTAAGTTAAGCCTAAAATACATTTGGTTAGCCCTAGACTGGTTAAGCTGTTGTCTAGATTTTTATTTTTAATTTTGTCTAACAAATTTCAAAGAACAAATAGGGAGACTGTTACCTATGTGCAATGGTACTGTTTTGTTACATGCTTCTATTTTTTTTTTTTTTTTTTTTTTTTTTGAGATATATACAAGAGTTGTTACATTCTTGTACAGCCACTAGTACGCGTAGCGTTTCGGGCAAGTCCTTAATCCTATGGTCCCTGGAATACGATCCCCTGCCGCGAAGAATCGTTTTTTCATCCAAGTACACATTTTACTGTTGCGTTAAACAGAGGCCACAGTTAAGGATTTGCGCCCAGTAAATCCTCCCCGGCCAGGATACGAACCCATGACATAGCGCTCGCGGAACGCCAGGCGAGTGTCTTACCACTACACCACGGAGACTGCTATATTTCCTTTCAATCTGGAGGATTGCAAATAGCCCAAAGAAATGTATTATTCAAAACATAATTAATTTGATCCCTTAAACAAGTACAACAACAATTTAACAACACGCGTAACTGTAATGAACTCGCACATGACTCGCTGCATCACACAACCAACAACGAAATGCTAAGTTCAAACAAAACCAGCCTTTTACACCAAGTCATTGGCTAAACCTATATTTTCATGGCATGAAAATGCCAACTACACACTCATACTCAATAGCTGCCAACTACACATTCATTCATGAACCAGTATGACCAACCTTGATGGGTGCTGCTGATGGTTGTAGTGGCTGTGGGGGATGATGGCATGCTCCTTCCTGAGGGTGACCCAATACACCTCATTATCAAGATACCATTCACCAATCAGTACTAAAGGAAAATTAATTCTGTTCTGCATGAGTAAATTACATTTAAAAGAAATTGATGGTATAATTCAATAAACTATTGATAATATACTTATAACTAGTATTTGACTTGTATATTAAAGATACTGTATTGCCATTTTCGAACAAAATGTACTTTACTCATGAAATCAGATGCATTTTTTTTGTTTACAAAGTTGCAGAAGATAGTAAGATGCCACTGACACCACAGGGATGACTGTACTGAACTTCCCAAACATGCACCAAAGCCCATGCAAACATATCTACATATGAACAACAATTAGCATCTTCAAACAGAGGTAACCATTCCAATGTCTCTGATGTGATTGACTTCACTCCTTTAAGATGGCAAAATGCATCATCCCATATATCTTGGTGTGCATTATTTTTATCAGGCATAATATAAACAGTTAACAGACAGTTGTTAAATAGAAAAACCTTGCACATACAGTAAACACTTTAAAATAATGCTGCCAACTAAAGAGTAGAAAACTTAATTAATAAGCATTTTATATGTAAATAATAAACTGTTACGACAGTTTCTCAAAAAAAAAAATAAAAAAAAAAAAAATCAGGCAAACATATAACAGTAAATATTCAGTTTTAAATATCATTACACTTAATTCTGCATTTTACATTAAAATTAAGTGAATAACAAATACTGTAATGCAAATTTCAAACTAATGCAATACTGTATTTAAAAATATATTTTAATACTCAAAGTGCAGAATAAACGTTTAACACAAAAATAAACTTGCTGCAATTTACTCAACATGAAAGCTGCAAATAAAATACTCACCTGACTTTTGGACACGTAACTGTGCGGCAGCTTGTGCGTCCCCGGCAGAATTGTATGCCACACACTGGTACATTCCAGAATCACCCTCCACCAAGCCAAGGATTTTTAAATTATTACCACTCACCATCTGCAGAGTTAATTTTGTGTAAAAATCAATATTGTAATTCACCAAATAGACTACAGTATATATATGACTCAAATGGCAAAACATATAAGTACTGTACAGTACATATTAGAGCAGCTTTTTAAGTCAAATGTCACATGATATTTGACTTCAGTTATTTCAGATTTTTATTAAAAAAAAAAAAAAGACACGAGTTTCTACATAACAATTCCTGTGTCAAATGTAATGAATGTCTCTTTCTGATCAAGCCCTCAGTGACTACCTGTTCCCGCACTGCCCCCCCCCACTTCCTGTGGTATTCGGTAATCATTGCATTAACAATGTGTAAATGACACAAGTGACTAACTAGGAGCCTCAGGTTGTTGGAACTACCATCTAGTGGCAAGGGAGTGGTGCTGACTAATGTTTTGTTTTCGTGGAATATCTTTCTTGATAGTTTTTTTGGTACCTGTTGTGATCTTGTATTGCCCTCCCCCCCATCCTAGAGTTCATTATGCCTCTATTGAGTCATTTTGGATTTTTTGTTGTTGGGCAAATGATCTCTTAATATGATTCCATCATATTTTTAATGATTTTCGTTGATGGGTACAACATTAATAACATTACAAGTAATAGTAGGGGCCTTGGGAAAGCCACTGAGCATATTTAAAACCCAATTCTATGATTCAATTTAATTTGCAATTTCCGAGTTTTCATTCACTAATATTGGTCCATTTTTCTTTGAAAATGAGAATTTAAGGCAAAGGCATAGAAAATATGCTAAGGTAGTTAAATCTCTGTACAGACAGGTTCTCTTGGGAGTTGTCCTTTATTTGACAGGTTGAAATTAAAATTTTGCTCTGTGAAATCAGCCCAAAGTGCTTAGGAAATATTAGGCTATGAATGGTTAATTTGGCTCAAGTTATATTTTAGATGATTTGTAGATGGACTCAACATACAAGAAAGCGTTGGCTCCGTGTGAAAGCAACTGAAGATATGAAAAACCAAATTTTATGGTTTTTACTTTGAGTTGGAAGATTTTCATTCACTCAGGTATGGCCCTACAACCTTTTGAAAATTAGTTTTGAGGCTGGGGATGCGAGAAATAAGTTGTGATTATATTTTTTTTGAAGACATTCTATTGGTAATTGTCTATTATATTATAGGTTGAAATTAAAATCTTGCTAAGTGAAATTAGCCCATAGGGTGTGGTTAATGCATCCTGAAGACATCTCCAGGTTGCAATGAATCCCTCACTACAACAAATTAGGGGTTGGTCCCATATAGTTTACTGAACTGGAGTTGTACTGTATAATATAATACTGTATACAGTAATATAATATAAATATAGGAGTACCACCTCTAGTACAATTATAGGAACCCATAGCCTCGCATAATATAACATTATTATTTATATTAATACAGTAACATAAAAGAAGAAATTTGAACAATTAATACAAACCTGGAAATATTCTGTTTCAATTATCAATTCACCATTTTTCAGCCAATGCACAGATGGTTCTGGCTGGCCATACACTTTACACTCCAATTCAACATCTTCTTTCTCGTATGCAATCGTATTTACAGGCCTTCTCAAAAACTTAGGAGCAACTGAAAAATAAAATTATATATTATAATACTGAAAAAACCCAGCATTGAATGTAATGAGACGCCATTTTCTGGGCGAGATCCGGAGGCTCCCCGGAGCTATCCAGGCTGATATGGATATATTAGACTTTGACATCAGTCAATGTGAATGGAGTTCTAGGCCTACCGGGGACCACAAGCCAGAACCTAGCCCCCCTCAGAAGAAGCACGAGGAGCAATGGCCTATGGCCCCCCCCTCCCACCCTGTGAGGTTTGAAGCATTTCATGACTGCCATCAACCGGGTCAGGCACCCAGAAAAGTAGGCGCCCCAAAACAAACCCATATTCTGGTTAAAATATTTCTTCTAAAAGCTGAACTAGTGTTCAGAACTCCCTAAATGAAAACGAGCAAATGAGCATGACGTCACCGTGTCACTACGCTGCTGTCTGCTCAGCCCCCACTCCCCAGGAAGGGAAAGGGGGGGGGGGGGCACCAGATCTTCACGCCGGCAATCCACCCCTCAGTTCTCTGGCCAATGTGAATGGTGTCCCACCTGCGTGCTTCGTTTCGGCAGCAGTATGAAGTTTCCTGGTGGTCCTTCTGTTTCTTCTTGTCCCTTCGTATGTTGACTTCGGAATGCTTCTTCAAACATGGAATGCTTCCAACCACACAGGGGTTTCCATAGGCCATTGCTCCTTGTGCCTCTTCTGAGGGGGCCAAGTTTTGGCTCGTGGTCTCCATTAGGCCAAGAACTCCTTTCACATTGACTGATACCAAAGTCTAATATATTCATATTAGCCTGGATAGCTCTGGGGAGCCGAAGGGGCTCCCCCAGAAAAGTACTTGATATTAAATTTGAGTATGGTCTATGCTTGGAAATGCAAATCATATGGTGCCTACCCCTATTCAAGGTATCCAAACCTTCGAGTTAGCCGAATTTCTTACCAGAAATGTCTAAAAATGACCATACAGTGGTACCTCGGAATGCGATTGTCCCTGTATGCGAGGTTTTCGGAAGGCGAGGTGTATTTACTCCAAAAATTTGTCTCAGAAGGCGAGGGTTACTTCGGGAGGCGAGTTTGGACGCGAGTTTGTTGATACGCGTACAGCCGACCTAGCGCGTTCGTCGCCCCTCCGCCCCGCCGCCCCTCAGTTTATTATTGTCTCGCGCTCAGTGACTACCCCCACATCAATTCTTCTCGCGGATTTTCAGTGTTTTGTTGGATTTTTGGTGATTTGTCTATACAATTTGTTATTATATATCTCACCATGGGTCCCAAGAAAGCCAGTGGTAAGGATAAAGGCCAGAAAGCTCATGTGAGGATGACAATAGAGGAGAAACAAGAGATCATTCGGAAGCATGAGAACGGTACACGTGTTGTTGAACTTTGTAGGCAGTACAACAAAGCCACATCAACAATATGCACTATACTTAAGAAGAAAAATAAGATTATGGGTGCTAAAGTGGCAAAAGGAGTAAGAACATTAACGGCACAAAGACCACAAATACTTGAAGAAGTGGAAAAGTTGTTATTAATTTGGATACACGACAAGGAGTTGAGGGGTGATAGTGTTTCGGAGGCCATTATTTGTGAGAAAGCCAGGGTGTTGCACGAAGACCTTCTAAAGAATACCCCTGCAACGAGTGATGCAGATAAGAAAGAGTTTAAGGCAAGCAGGGGCTGGTTTGAAAAATTTAGAAAGAGAAGTGGTATCCATAGTGTTACAAGGCATGGGGTTATGTGATGTGATTATGGAAGGGGACTCCCCTTCCAAACAGTAACTCCTCTCCTCCTCCCCCCTCCTCACCATCTTCCATACGCCTACAGCACTCGACAGCAAGGTAAGTAATAACTGGAACACAGTTTTGTAGGTTTATTTAGATGAATTAGGTAAATTAGGTATAAAAATTTAGTTTGATGTGGGGTTTTTGGGGTAGTCAGGAACGGATTAATTCATTTCCCTTTATTTCTTATGGGGAAATTAACTTCGGAATGCGAGTTTTCGGAAGGCGAGGCGTCTCCAGGAACGGATTAAACTCGCATTCTGAGGTATGCCTGTATGTAAACATTTTTGTACCACAATCCAGTTATTCTTGTTTACCCACATTCTCCTGCCATTTACTCTAACATTTTTATAGTTTACTGCTTACTCCCACAGTTTACTTGAAAAAATGAACCCGATTTCATTCATATCACCCAAAGATTTGGGTTACCAGAACTCAGATTACCGAGCTCTTACAAGTAATAAGTGTGCAAAAGTCACAATAAGAGGCCGTTAGTGTGCAAAAATATTCCACCTTAGAGAGCACTAATATTTTAAAAAGTATAATCAATGGTATGGCATCTCTTGCTGGAAAGGTTCTTTTTATCTAACCTGTCACTTTTCTTGCAGTTGTGACAGCTATTTTATTGTATTCTTTAAATTGAGGTCTTCTGACATGATTATACCTAGAAGCGAGGCGAGAACCTACATTCAAAATAGTAGCTAAAGTAATTGCCAACCTTACATTCATTATGGCTCTCTGCCTTTAAAGCCCTTGCTGGGCACAGACCCTGAATTCAGTTCAAGTGACACATTTAAACTTGAAATTTGTTATGAATGTGTGGCGAGACTGCACTATTAAACAGATGCCTACATGTGTGTGGTTAGACTTTTGTGTATTTCTAAACAATTTCCAGCCAGCTATACAGAAATAGAGATGAAGATGAACCCAACTGTTCTACTGGGACTCAAAGATATCTTTGTGCTAATTTTGTTTGTGCTTAAGCTGTATTCTTCCTCCTCTTGAGTTTGTGACTTAATTTTAAAATTTCTTGGGATCTGGTACTGGACTTTAGTGATATTACTGAGCTGGCCACTCAGTTGCTCTTACTTTATCTCAAGTTCCCCTGTGCTGTCCGAGGTTCTAATCAGGCTGAATGAGAAGTGGGCAAATCCTTGTTGCTCTGTTGACACTATAGGTGGTGATATCTAGTGGTGGTCAGTGACAGCAGCAGCAGCCAGGTGACCAACTAGCCATTAGCACAGCAATACTTGGTGATTTTTTGAAGGTGACTATCACTTGAAGAAGGTTTATTTAATGTAAATGAATGAAACTTGTTGAGAACGTTTCAAGTTGGATAGAGAAATATCCAATGTCTCACTTTCTCTATCAATGACCAGGCAGGGATGCTTAAAAAAAAAGAATCCCTACAGAGTCAGGGAGTGAATGGCAAGCTTTCTTGACTGTTTTTTCTTTGTACACAATACAGTAACAGATGACTTCTGACTCCTGTTAGCACACTGAAAGCTTTCCATTCCCATAGTTCATGGTTGTTTGGTCTTTTTCTTGAGAGAAAGTTAATGACAAAGGAGCAAACACCTTGAAAGTTAATGACAAAAGAGCAGCTAGGTGACATTTCATCAAAACTTTTGATAAGCTACATTTGAAGTAAGCTAGCCACACAACATACATAATTATAGTTAATGAACAAATCCACAAGGGGCGTAATAAAGGTTCGAACTTATGTCCAGGGTGATCCCAGACTCACCTTAGTCGATTGCGCCGTGTGAGAGCAGTAGCACTCCCGGTTGCAATTCTTTTACTATGTCGTGGTACAATAGACTAAGAAGCATCTGGGATCACCCTGGACGTAAGTTCGAACCCTCATCACTGTCACTTGTGGATTTGTTCATTTGATGTATCATGCTATTGTGATTTTTGTGTATATTGAAGTAAGGGCAAAGAGGTAGAACAGCTTGTTGACAGAGCCCGAGTGCATGGGGGAATTGTGTAAACCCCGGTTTGTGTCTCCGAGAGGCTGCGGGATCCATGTGAAAGCAGTAGCACTTCCAATTGCAATTATTTTATCATGACGTGATGCAATCGACTAAGGCGCGTCTGGGATCACCCTGTACGTAAGTTCGAACCCTCATCACGGCCCTTGTGGATCTGTTCATTTGATGTATCACGCTACTGTGATTTCTGTGTGTAATTATAGTTAAATTGTTTAGTAACATCATTTTAGGACTAGTGTTTCCTATATTGTATTTTTATTTATTATTTTTTTAACCTTTTGTCTTACCTTGCACTTGGATGTGAGCTACAGCATCAACAGAGTCTTCTCTATTTTCTGCTCGACACATGTATGTGCCACCATCTTCTTCTTTTAATCCAATGATCTGCAAGCTTCTTGTTGTACCAAAAAACAAGAACCTGGTGTCCAAGTCACTGCAGAAATAATGAATATACTGTAACTTCAATTAAATATATGAATGTCAACAAAGTGATAAATACAAAGTGAACAAATTTAAGTACAGTCGATACTGAGAGTTACTTTATATATAAAATTGTGTTCTCAGCAGAAAATATAGCTTTTAATAAAATCATTGGATCTTTGCTAACACCATAACAGCAGGAAGAGAATTGGTTCTATAGTAGAATCCTGGGAATGTATAGAATGGTTTAGAAATACTGTATGCAGACAACAAGTCACAATAATGTGGCTGAAGATATGATTATCAAACCACACATCAGAAAATGGAGAAACAACAATGTTTTGGTCTGTCCTGGACCATTATCAAGTTGTGTGTGAAGAAGAGAGGAAGAAACGAGCCAATAAATAAGTAGAGTGAGGTGGGTAGGAGGTATGAGAAGAAGGTAATTTCTAGAAGGTAAGTGCAAGGTGAAAGGTAAGAATAGGAAGGATGGTGCTTAAAAATATTTAAATATTATAGACAGAAAACTTTAAAATGTTTTATAAGTTGGGTCCCTGAGTTATAAGAGCATATGTACTCTGCCATGCTACTCAAAAATGAATCTATACAAATAAATATCACTCATGCCAAGATTTGGGAACATCTTTCACTGGATGGAAACAAAAAAAGGAAATATATCCAAGAGCCACATGAAAAGGAGCTATATAACATAATCAAAAGGGGATGAAATAAGATTCCCCTGCACTGCTCAAAGAGATAAAGAACTGAACACTTAAACCAAAACACGTCGTGGATTCTGCAAATCTAGAGGAAACAGGAACCCATAGACACAAGAGATGTGGGTCCTGCTAAAATAAAAACAGATTTTAATATGAAAGCAAGTCAAAGTTGCTAATCAATGTATGTGGGTTAGCTCGAGTCAGGGAACCTGCAGGCGTGTTTGCTGCTGCAACCTGATGGCTGTCAGTGCAGTGAGGCCAGACAGGACAACTGGTAGTAACTGACAGCCCGCCCTTGGTGGTCACCCAAGATGCCAAGAGAAGGTTTGGAAGGGATTTTTAGATTTTTATGAATAGACCCTCTGGTGGTTATTCTGGGTATAGGTAAAAAAAAAAAAGCTTCTGTGAAAATATTAAAATATTCCTATCAGAGATGAAGATATTCTTACTTAGGATACCTAATTTAAGAACATTATGCTAAAGCAGAAGCAGGGGCATTATACACAAATGCCACAACACTAAGAGAATACAAAACAATCACCACCTCCTGGTATAGGGATCAGTCTCAATATAGGTAACATAAGCATGCAATGACTTAAACAATATTATTGGCAGTCTATGCAGGTAAAGTAATAGTGAAAAAATTAGGCTCCTAAAGTTTATACAAAAGCTAGCACACACATACACACACACACACACACACACACACACACACACACACACACACACACACACACACACACACACACACACACACACTCATAAATTCATAAACAACAAATTGCAGGTAAAGGATAATATTCAGAGGTTGAAAATGGGAAATAGATTCACGGAAGATGAAAAGGAAATGTGTGAAACACTAAACGAAAAGTTCCAAAGTGTGTTTGTACAAAATGAAATCTTTAGGGAACCAGATACAATAAGAATTCCAGAGAACAACATAGAACACATAGAGGTGTCTAGAGACGAAGTGGAAAAAATGCTCAAGGAGCTCGGTAAGAACAAAGCAGCTGGCCCAGATGGCGTTTCACCATGGGTTCTGAGAGAATGTGCATCTGAGCTCAGCATTCCACTTCACCTGATCTTTCAGGCATCCCTGTGTACAGGAATCGTAGCAGACGGGTGGAAACAGGCTAACATAGTTCCAATCTACAAAAGTGGCAGCAGGGAAGACCCCCTCAATTATAGACCTGTATCATTGACAAGTGTAATAGTGAAAGTATTGGAAAAACTAATCAAAACTAAATGGGTAGAACACCTAGAGAGAAATGATATAATATCAGACAGACAGTATGGTTTTCGATCTGGAAGATCCTGTGTATCGAATTTACTCAGTTTCTATGATCGAGCCACAGAGATATTACAGGAAAGAGATGGTTGGGTTGACTGCATCTATCTGGACCTAAAAAAGGCTTTCGACAGAGTTCCACATAAGAGGTTGTTCTGGAAACTGGAAAATATTGGAGGGGTGACAGGTAAGCTTCTATCATGGATGAAAAATTTTCTGACTGATAGAAAAATGAGGGCAGTAATCAGAGGCAATGTATCAGAATGGAGAAATGTCACAAGTGGAGTACCACAGGGTTCAGTTCTTGCACCAGTGATGTTTATTGTGTACATAAATGATCTACCAGTTGGTATACAGAATTATATGAACATGTTTGCTGATGATGCTAAGATAATAGGAAGGATAAGAAATTTAGATGACTGTCATGCCCTTCAAAAAGACCTGGACAAAATAAGTATATGGAGCACCACTTGGCAAATGGAATTTAATGTTAATAAATGTCATGTTATGGAATGTGGAATAGGAGAACATAGACCCCACACAACCTATATATTATGTGAGAAATCTTTAAAGAATTCTGATAAAGAAAGAGATCTAGGAGTGGTTCTAGATAGAAAACTATCACCTGAGGACCACATAAAGAATATTGTGCAAGGAGCCTATGCTATGCTTTCTAACTTCAGAATTGCATTTAAATACATGGATGGCGATATACTAAAGAAATTGTTCATGACTTTTGTTAGGCCAAAGCTAGAATATGCAGCTGTTGTGTGGTGCCCATATCTTAAGAAGCACATCAACAAACTGGAAAAGGTGCAAAGACATGCTACTAAGTGGCTCCCAGAACTGAAGGGCAAGAGCTACGAGGAGAGGTTAGAAGCATTAAATATGCCAAAACTAGAAGACAGAAGAAAAAGAGGTGATATGATCACTACATACAAAATAGTAACAGGAATTGACAAAATCGACAGGGAAGACTTCCTGAGACCTGGAACTTCAAGAACAAGAGGTCATAGATTTAAACTAGCTAAACACAGATGCCGAAGAAATATAAGAAAATTCACCTTCGCAAATAGAGTGGTAGACGGTTGGAACAAGTTAAGTGAGAAGGTGGTGGAGGCCAAGACCGTCAGTAGTTTCAAAGCGTTATATGACAAAGAGTGCTGGGAAGACGGGACACCACGAGCGTAGCTCTCATCCTGTAACTACACTTAGGTAATTACACTTAGGTAATTACACACACACACACGGAACTGAGAAGTATGAGCTATGAGGAAAGGCTAAGGGAGCTGAACCTTACATCCCTGGAAAACAGAAGAGTAAGAGGAGACATGACAACCACCTACAAATTCTCAGGGGAATTGACAGAGTGGACAAAGACAAACTCTTTAGCACGGATGGAACATGAACAAGGGGACACAGGTGGAAACTTAGTACCCAAATGAGCCACAAAGACGTCAGAAAGAATTTTTTTTTTTAGTGTCAGAGTAGGCATTAGGCAGTGATGTAGTGGAGGCTGACTCCATACACAGTTTCATATGTAGATATGACAGAGCCCAGTAGGCTCAGGAACCTGTATACCAGTTGATTGACGGTTGAGAAGCGGGACCAAAGAGCCAGCGCTGAACCCCTGCAAGCACAACTAGGTGAGTACACACAAAACCGTCAGTACTGTAGCTTCAAAGCGTTATACGACAAAGAGTACTGGGAACACAAGACACCACGAGCGTAGCTCTCATCCTGTAACTACACTTTGGTAATTACATACCTCAAACACACAAGCGCACACAATAAAAATCATATACAGAAACAGATATCAGAGGACGTTAATAAATGTTAATCATACTTACGCCATGTCTATGGTTGCCCCATCCTTTAGCCAAACAACTGTTGGCTCTGGATAGCCATTAGCTGCACAATCTAGTGTTATGTTTGCTCCTACTGTGCCAACTACAGATTTTGGCTGAGCAATGAATACAGGAGACTGGGGGTCACGAAGTGCATATCCTTCCTTTACTTGAAGCGTGGCTTGTTGTGATACCTTGGTCTTATCAAGGCTCGTTGCTTGGCAATAATATTCACCATCATCAGTTGCAGCTACATTTTCTATTTCTAAGGCACCTGATGAAAAACAAACCAATTGAACATAGTTAATGAAGATAAAATTGTGGTAACACAATGCATACCAACATAGATAGATAGATAGACACATGCACACACAAATTTGTATATTTGTATGTACTTTTTAAAATGTCCCCCCCTCTTGCTTTTTACCTCCTGAACTGCTGCCCAACCACTTGGGCTGGATGGTAGAGCGACTGTCTCACTTCATGCAGGTAGGCTAACAATCCCTGACCATCCAAGTGGTTGGGCACCACCTCCCCCATATCCCAACCCAAATCCTTATTCTGTTTTTAATTTCTTTTTTTAGCAGCAACTATCTTTTTATAGGTAGACATACTGGGGTATTTAGTTTCTTTACATTATCTCTTCAGTGTCAGAATGTACCTACCAGATGGAAGGCGTGTCATCCTTGAGTCAGGATCCAAAGGATGACTGTTTCTGAACCACTTGATGATTGGTGGAGGAGAGCCGTCAATGGCACAAGGAAACCGTGCCCGTTCACCTTCAAACACAGTCATATCTTGAGGCTGATCCTCAAACTTAGGTAGTGCTGGAGGGAAAGGAATATTTTGTTATAAATCAAGAATGTATTTTTCAAACTACAAAATCCCTTCATATGTATGCCATGTCTAAATGATATACAGTACTGTATATAAATATTTATTATATTATATTTTTTTTTTTTTTTTTTTTTTGAGATATATACAAGAGTTGTTACATTCTTGTACAGCCACTAGTACGCGTAGCGTTTCGGGCAGGTCCCTGGAATACGATCCCCCGCCGCGAAGAATCGTTTTTTCATCCAAGTACACATTTTACTGTTGCGTTAAACAGAGGCTACAGTTAAGGAATTGCGCCCAGTAAATCCTCCCCGGCCAGGATACGAACCCATGACATAGCGCTCGCGGAACGCCAGGCGAGTGTCTTACCACTACACCACGGAGACTGTATTATAATATATAAATATAATATAATAGATTATATAGATATTATATTATATTATATATATATATTATATATATTATATATATAATATATATATATTATATTATATATATATATTATATATATATATTATATATATATATATATATATATATATATATATATATATATTATATATATATATATATATATATATATATATATATATATATATATATATATATATATATATATATATATATATATATATATATATATAATATATATATATATATATATATATATATATATATATATATATATATATATATATATATATATATATATATATATATATATATATTATATATATATATATATATATATATATATATATATATATATATATATATATATATATATATATATATATATATATATATATATATATATATATATATATATATATATATATATATATATATATATATATATATATATATATATATATATATATATATATATATATATATATATATATATATATATATATATATATATATATATATATATTATATATATATATATATATATATATTATATATATATATATATATATATATATATATATATATATATATATATATATATATATATATATATATATATATATATATATATATATATATATATATATATATATATATATATATATATATATATATATATATATATATATATATATATATATATATATATATATATATATATATATATATATATATATATATATATATATATATATATATATATATATATATATATATATATATATATATATATATATATATATATATATATATATATATATATATATATATATATATATATATATATATATATATATATATATATATATATATATATAATATATATATATATATATATATATATATATATATATATATATAATATATATATATATATACATTGTTCTCTGCTATCACAATGCTTTTTGAGACAAATCTTGCTGACACTAGTATGTGCAATGAAAACCATAAACTGGTCCTCAAAACAAAACAAAATATTGTATCAAATTATGATACTAATGTGTTGTTTAATAATAGAAAACCTTTACAAAAGCTGTAATGTTAAATACTCATATAGCAATGATATTTAACAGGCACAGAGTCAGCTGATATGATCTTGTGCCAAAGTGCCAAACCAATGGAACTTTAATGCATTGGTTTTAACACACTCCTTTTCAATACTGGTGAAACTTCTAAACAAGTGACAAAAAAAAACTTTACTGCCTGCATTAACCCAATTAAACATGCTCTATTCACTGGGTTGTGGGTATGATAAATATATCATATATTTATGGTAAATATGAAGATAACTTGGTTATGTTGACCAAACCACACACTAGAAAGTGAAGGAATCGACTTGAGAATGGTCCAGGACGGACCGAAACGTCATCATTCCTTCACTTTCTAGTGTGTGGTTTGGTCAACATATTTCAGCCACGTTATTGTGACTCCACGTCTGCGTAACTTGGTAATTATCTGCACACATATTACTCATTACTGTATTCCAAGAGGAATTAATAAAGCCGAGCCTTACATTTGTTTACAGTACCTATGCCTGTAAATGTTTGTCTGCGAGTTTCTTTCATTTATAACACTTGCAACATAATTCTTAAAGCTGTACGAGTCTTTCAAAGAATTTTGCTTCATTTCACAAGTTTTATAATGTGATGTGCTATAAAGAGAACAGGTTGCAGATTGATGCATTTAACCCATTCTTTTCTTTCCAGTAAAATTTCTGTGGCTTTATCATAGAAACTAAATAGGAAAGGAAGGAGGATCACAAGATCTTCCTGTTCAAAATCCATACTGTCTGTTATTTTATCATTTCTCTCCATGTGTTCTGCTTCATTGGTGTTTGTGATTTTTCTAGTGTTTTGACTACCACGCTTGTCAGGGATACAGGTCTATTATTAAGAGGGTTTTCCCTGCTACCATTTTTGTAGAGTGAAATCATGTTTGCCTATTTCCATACATCTGCCAAGATTTCTGTAGACAAAAATGACTGAAAAATCAATTGAAGTGGGTTCTCATCTTAGATGATGTACATTCTCTAAAAACCAAAAGGTGAAACCTCATTTGAGCCAACTGCATTGTTTCTATCTAGCTCCCTGAACATTGTGAACATACTTGTATTTTTATTTACATTAATTTGAATCGAGTAAATAATGCTTTATCAGGTAGACCTCACAACAATTATAAATAACAGTTTCACAGAGAGATGTATATAATAAACAGAGCACCAGGTTTAAGGATAATAGAAAAAAAAAACACATTACAGTACATTAATTTCCAAAACTAAATAATTCAGTTATAGGATAACGCATACCGATTTTCTCGCTAAGAATTTATAATCACATGCAGCATAAGTTTAAGAAAAGTAAAGATCGTGCAGCTCAATACAAGAGAATATAACTTATGCATTTTAATACTTAAAATAGCTATATATGAGCTCAATTTATGAATCAGTAATAATTTGATAGAGAACAGTGCATGCAATATATTTCATGAGCTTAATCTCTATACAATATGAATCCCGAACAAGAAAGCATTTAATGTGTAATTTAGTATAAAAACAAGTGAAACATATTATATGCACTGAAAACAATACTAGTACCTACAGACAATGAGAGAGAGAGCATGGTAAATAAGATACACAAAACAGAATTATAGACAGCAAGTCCTGTGTAACATTAAGCAAAAAATAATACTGTTAACCATATGTAGAAAAAATAACCTGAGAGCATTAAAAAAAATATATATATTAAAGCTAGGACTGCAAAAATATATTAAAGATAGGCCTACAAAAAAAAAATTAATGCTAGCCTGCAAAAATCAGTTAGCCAACATCCTCAACACACAGAACTTTGCTTCCCAGACATGTTAGCTAAAACATAATACAGTATTTGATAATGAATACAAAACTGTTTTTCTCGTTATTATTGAAATAATTTCAGGAATTATAATATTCCTTTTTAGCATTTATAACAATATTTGCTTTGCATAAAATTAGGTTTAACCACCTCACTGGGCAGAGCCCCTTGAGGCGCTCTGAAGCTTGTGCTACAGGAGGCCTGGAGGCCTGGTCGACGACCGGGCCGCGGGGACACTAAGCCCCGGAAGCACCTCAAGGTAGCCTCAAGGTAAGGTAAGGTACAGTATTTTGTTTTAATTAGGCTATATTTTAATGTTTTTATTAATGTTTTTATCACTCTGTGTTTTGAAATTAAAATGATTGAGTATGAACCATTTTCATACTCAATGCAATACATTTTCCTTTCATACAAAAACTATGAAGTTTTTGCCAAAACCAGGTGCACAGTGTGGTGGTTAAGTAAATGAGGCTCAATTTTTTGTATAATAAATTATATAAAAACAATTAACAAGGCCTTGGAAAACATCAATATATAGTAAGGTGTTAGGCAAATTGATTTCTAGTGTTCTAGATGCTTAAGATTTGGGCAATTAATATCCTAAGACACAAAAATTCTGGCAATAAAGGCTCTAGAAAATCTAGATTGGCCACAGTATTCATTGATTGCTAATCTGATTAACAGGGTCAGAGATAACCCGAGATCCTGCTAAGTTGATTCACAGCTGATCAACAAAGGTACCACAATATAATTTTAATAAAAATATGAGTGTGTGAAAGTCATGCACAAGATTAAAATGCATTATTACCATCCTCTTCCCAGCCGCCTGTTTGGAGGAGAAGCAGAGTTATGTTAGAGTGATTATGGGAGAATTCTTATTCCCTGCTGCTCTTAACCTTTTACTATTTTATCATTGATAAATATAGTTTTCAAAATACTTGTACATACTGTAGATGAAATTCAGATAAAATTAAATTAATAGCAAGCAGGGGATAAAATTGTGAAGTGTGCTAAATACATACTAAGAGTAAATCCTTGAAATAAACTTCAGTAATACATCTTAATTTTAAACGAATTATAACTAAAAAGATTGATAGTTACTTCCTGCATAATATTCATGAATTAAAGAAACACCAATATTTTTAATTAAAACTAGACTTCAGATCATAAAATAGTCCATTTATGCTGTAGAAGTTGATAGCATTTTGTTGTACTATGAAATTCTTCATAACTGAGAAATTCTGCTGCTCCAATTATACTGTAATTTGAATTATTAAACATCAATGAAATGTTAAATTAACATTTATTGTGAAAACTTTTAACAAGAGAATTCTAAGATTAAACTCAGGAATTCAATTACAGCATATGATGATAATATATCATACAGCATAATTACAGCATTAATCATTGTATCAACAATTAATAAGGAAGATTTGGTGAACAGTTCTTGTGACAAAAAGACATCAAGAAACGTATCCCTAGCAGGTACAGTATCTCTAACGATACAAAGGTGGTTAAAGGAATACAGGAGTTAAGGGGTGCAATTGCCACAAAGTACATAAGTAATCTTATTCTTAGCCATGAGGATTGTATTGTATTCAATTATGTTCTTGTACTGATGATGGTTGTAATGGCAATGGTCAATACATTGGTAGCAGTGTGGCCGGTTACAGCTGTGGTAGTAATAGTACTAGTACTTGTAGTAGGGACAGTTTTAGTAGTTGCAGTATTTGTCATAACATTGGGTGGCGATTGTAGTAGTGGTCTTAACACTGGTGGTCATGAAAGCAGTGGTAGTTAAGGTGGTGGTCATTACAATGGTGATGATTGCAGTGGCAGTCTTACAGTTGTGGTGGTGGATATAGTGGTTGAAATTTTGCTGGTAGTTGTGGTGACAGGTTTTATCATTCTTATAGTTGCAGAGCGGCAGTGATGGCAGAGTCATTGTGGTAGTGGTTACAGTAGTTGTGGTAATTGTTGTTGTGGTTGCTGCAACAGTTGTAGTGGCTGCAATGGTATTGGTGGTGATTGTATTAGCTGAGGAACAGTGTACCGTTTGAGTGTCATTGTTAGGGAAAGAACCATTTCTAGCCTGCAACTGAATAAAATACTGTGAGGCCTAACCATTGACTAGGGAGATCTCGATAGATGTCCCACCCTAACAAGGCTACAGGCCATTCTCAGAGTAAAGAGATTCTAATGACCACACAGCCACCCTGGTTAATTAATTTAAACACCTGGATATTTATCTAAATATTTATGATGGTCTGAAAGGATATTACGATTACGATAATAGCCTTCTTATAGAATGGCACATGTATTTTTGCCTTAGACAGAGAATATTCTCAAGTTATAACATTATTGAATTATGAACCATTGATTTAAAATTAAAAAAAAAATGGTCTATGCTTAACTCATTTTCCATGAAATGGTCTGAAGAATTTGGTTTTCAGTAAATTAAATTATAGGGGGCTGTTGAAATAGTTTTACAATTTTATATTTGACACGTTTAATGAATAATACACCGCATTATTGTAACCTAACCTAACCTAACCTAACTGTAACCTTAATCTTAAGTTTAATCTTAACCTAACCTAACTTTCACCTAACCTTACCTTAACCTAACCTTAACCTACACTTAACCAAGCCAATCCATGGACAGGGAGTAAATAATACCACTAATTAAATGGTGGCTTTGGAGTGATTACCTCCAGGGTGCCTCGTCCCTGAGAACAAGTTAGAAGACTAGTACAGGTATCAACAACACTGCTCTCAGGTATGCAGATTGACCACAGTGAAAAACGAAAAGATAACAGCTAAGTGCTTTCAGCTTGCTTTTCATAGCCTTCTTCAGATCTGACATCGAGTTCTTCTCAATGTCCTAGACAGATAATGTATTATAACAACAAGCTTCTGATCAGTGTCCATGCAAAAGTCGTGTCCCAATAATGTTACAAGTCCCTTACTGCAATGACGCTGCTAGGTGTTTTAACACAAAACGTGGAGTAGTTGCAGTGGGTCAAAATGTCTGACCAAGTACTCACCAACTATACTCAGTCTGGCCCTGGATGATATAATGGTGCCCGCTCCGGGCGAGGATGCCACGCACTGATAAATGCCTTCATCAGTTTGTTCAGATCTTGGTCCATTCACCCAAGAGATGGATAACGTTCCATTCGGAAGAATAGTTCTAAAAAAAAATGGGATGGTGAAAAAAATGATTATTGCAAACGGGTATAATAGCTATGCATATGTATACTCTTCCAACCAGTTTCTACCTAAAGAGAATATAACATTTCATATATATGAGATATTAAGTTAGAGGTGAACGAGAGTTGAGGGGGACATACAGTCTTGTGTCACCGGAGGAATCAACGGGAGAGTTATCTTTCCTCCAGGTGAGAGTGGGCTCTGGGTAGCCAGTAGCCACACAGTGGAGCCACGCTGGGCCCCTCTTCCGCACCACCGTGTCCACTGGCTCCACTCCAAATGATAACCCACTCCACAGTCCCTCTGAAATAGACCATTTTAATAACTCTTCTGCCAGAGAAAAACACTATTTTACACACTATTGCTTCTTAAATATAATACCCTATTTAAATAATATTTTGATAATTAAATCCGGAAGAAACAAAGAGAGTATTATTATATATAATTGTACAAAATAGTATGTAGTATTATGAAACTATTGTGGAATGAATTTATGCATGATGTGAATACTGAGCTGTTGTATGGCAACTTGAGGGTTACTGACTAAAATACATACTTATAATTCATTAATTAAAGTACCACTTTTTATGTATGAAACTCAATGAAAACAGTATTCCATATATATCAGACATGATATAAAATAAAAAAAGTTTCAAACATTAAAGTACTCTGAGAGAGAACTCTATTAACATCAGAGGCCCGAGACTGTTCAACACGCTTCCACTACACATAAGGGGCATAACTGGCCGACCCCTCACAGTGTTCAAGAGAGAACTGGATAAGCACCTCCAAAGGATACCTGATCAACCAGGCTGTGACTCATATGTCAGGCTGCGAGCAGCCGCGTCCAACAGCCTGGTTGATCAGTCCAGCAACGAGGTGGCCTGGTCGACGACCGGGCCGCGGGGTCGCTAAGCCCCGGAAAAAAATCGCAAGGTAAGGTAGACTTTAACCCTTACAAATGCAAGGCTATGAAAATAGGAGTTGGAGCAAAAAGACTTCACATACAGTACAAGATGGAGGGAATCTTTACCTTACCTTACCTTGAAAGATAATTTCCAACTTATGAAAAAGAGAAAGACTTTTAGTAGTGGACAAAACAGGAGGCCTGACACCAGGGCCACAAATCAGCAGAACAACAATATGCCAGACTGGCAAACGTCCGGTTCAGGAACTTTGACAAAGTTCCCTTCCGAACTCTGTATACATCAGCCCGTCCTCCAAAAATGGGGTGGTAAATGTAAGGAGACAAATAAATGCAATTATGTACTATTCATAGCAGTTAGGAAGTGTACTTATCCACTTAGTAATAAATCGTAGTGTCAAATATATTGTGAATATTTGAGTTTACCTGAAAAACTGAATAGAAAACCACAACCTTACCTAACCGTCTTAGTTTTTGAAGATAATAATTTTATTGCTTCTTAAATACAATTAGTACTTAACCTATAGCTATATTGATATTACAGTTTTATAAAACTAATAAAACAAAACTAAAATATATCAATAAATTATAAAGTAACTCAGGATATTTTAAAATTTTGTATAAAATCTATATTGTTTAATAAACCTGAAAAAGAAATTCTTGATATTTAAAACTTGTGTATAACAACTTGAAATTTATAACTTCATCCTAAAATTGTGAGTGTCTTAACAGAAAACGAGGAGAATTAAATCGGGGGAGGGAGTTGGGTAAATGTAACAGCCCCATAAGTGTAATTATGCACTGTTTGGCAGTAAGATAATGTACTTATTACACTTAGTATTAAATCGTACTGTCAATTCGGAGGATGGGTTGCATACATCCTTCGTGAGACCAATTATCGAGTATACTGCCTCTGCAAGGGCACTCTATCTAAAAAAGCACAAAGCAAAACTAGACAATGTTAACAAAATTACAACAAGACTGGTTCATGAGCTATGAAGAATGATTGGGGGAACTGAACTTCCCTACATTAAAGGAAAGAAGGAATAAGGCAGACATGATAATGACATACAAGATACTAAGGGAGATTGGGACAGTAGATATTGTTGCAATGTTCAAATTAAGAAACAGTAGAACGAAAGGATATAATTGGATATGAGTAACAGGAATGTCAAATAACTTTTTTAGTCTAAGAGTCGAAAATATGTACGGCCGGACTAAGTGAGGACGTTGTCGAAGTCAATTCAATTCCCAGCTTTAAAAATAACTATGATCAGAAACTGAGTGAAAAGAGTCACTGCACTGAACCAACCAATGCTGGTCTAAAGGCGGGGCTTAAGAGCAGATGCTCGACCCTGCAAGATCAACTAGGTGAGTACACCCCCCTGGACAGCACACTGGACTTGTGGTCCTGTGGTCCCGGGTTCGATCCCGGGCGCCGGCGAGAAACAATGGGTAGAGTTTCTTTCACCCTATGCCCCTGTTACCTAGCAGTAAAATAGGTACCTGGGTGTTAGCTGTTACGGGCTGCTTCCTGGGGTGGAGGCCTGGTCGAGGACCGGGCCGCGGGGACACTAAAGCCCCGAAATTATCTCAAGATAACCTCCCCCCTTCCACCCTCACGTGAAACAAACGCTGACGGAGAAAGTCTAGAGATTTGCAACAAGAGTGGTGACAACAGTAGAGGAACTAAGCTACGAAGCAAGGTTGAGCAATTTCAGTCTAACACTTACAAGTCGGAGAGGAGGTGAAGAGTGGGGCGCAAGTAAGTCTGACGGACGTATTACTTGCATGCAGTAAGGTTGATGATAAATGCAATAGGAGTAGTGTTAAGAGCTGGTATGATATTGATCTAGCATCAGAAAATCGAAAATAATAATACCACCCAGTATCTCTGATTACAACGAGGCGTGACCCAGGAGCTAGATTTTATCCTTCATAAACACAGTTTGGCAAGTACATCTAGTTAAGAACACATACACACAAATGTTCACTAGTTACTGTAACAATCTAATTAAATTTTCATCGCCAGTAAATGAAACACACTGGGTAACAACCGTAGAGTTTATGGGCGTACAGTATTAGTCAACAATCGGAACATTGAAACGTGTTAAATACCTTTTAGTTGGTATCAACAGTGACATTGTAAACGATCTACACTGTAGATTAAAAGAAAGACTTAAACCACTGAAAACACTTGCTGGTAAGAATATTGGTATCAATATTAAATATGTAAGACTATTCTATATGATGTTTGTTAGATCTCTCGTTGATTATAATGCTTTGCCCTTAATTAATTTCCCCTCCTCTGTGTTGGACAAACTTGAAGTAGTACAGAATGAAGCCATGAGGATAATTCTTGGTGCCCCAAGATGCACAAGAATCATCAACATGAGGGAAGAACTGAAGCTTCCAATCATACTAGAGAGAATCATGCAAGTCAATACGACCTTTTTCCTTAAAGTCATGAGAGACCCTACATCTCTTGCATTGCTCAGAGACAAATTATTTAGTGCTGTTAACACCTTATTGACTGGTCCCGACATACTAGCTCACTCCTTTTATGATAAATTGCTGATCAAAAATGCCTACAATCTCATCAAACTCAACATTCCTTTTAAATGCAATCTACCAAACCATATTTCTCTTTATCTGTGCCCCACCATTCAAGTATCATACACACCCGTCACCAAGAAAGGTAATGAGAATCTTGCTCTTCTCAATGCTGTCACACTTGAAACAATTTCCTCCTCCGTCGAGAATTTAAGATCTCACGAGCACTGTGTCTTCGCCGACGGCTCAGTCCAATCTTCTACTGGACGGACTGCAGCAGCATGTAGGTTTTATAGAAATAATATTTGCACACAGACTGTCAGTGTCAGGTTAAACAAGTAGCTGACCTCCACACAAGCAGAACTAGCGGCACTACAACTAGCTACCAGTACATTAAAAAACATTGGAAGAGGAATAATATTTTCTGACTCAAAGTCTACTCTTCAAGCACTCAAAAAGTTCTCCTGGAAGATCGACAGCAAGAATCTTATACTGCCAATTATAAATGACCTAATCGCTGCACAGAGTAAAGGGTTTCGAATCTCCTTTGTATGGATACCATCACACGTAAATATAACCCATCATAATGAGACAGACATTGCAGCCAAATTAGCGTGCAACAAAGATGAAGTTGAATTAGATCTAGGTATCCCCATCTATGCTGTCAAAATCATATTGTTCCAAACACTCTGGTCTGATAGGAAAGAAATTACTGACTCCCAACGACCTGAAAGCCCCAGTATAAAAAGGTATGATTTGTTTAGATCTGAAACCTATATTTATGGGCAGCACAAAACGTCCACCAGACTGTACGACACAGTGGTTGCCAGGATCAGGTTGGGTTACCGTTACCTGTGGCAGGTGGCTACAGGTGACGGATCTCCCAATTCTGAGCACTCCAGGTGTAAACTCTGTGAGCAGGAACTACGGCATGATCTCCCGCACTACATCACCGAATGACCAGTTATTAGACCTTTCAGACCAGTTGGCATGAAGTACCTCTAGCTTGGCAATTACTTTATTCACTCTCGTGTTCTTGAAGATACCCTCAGAGTGTACCCCAAATTTGCCGGTGCTGGCTATTGAACATATGGCCCTGTATGACTAACCATCCTGCGAGATGGGGGACTTTTAATATCACTGCTACCTTATTCACTCTCGTGTTGATAATATCATCATAATGCTCCCAGTGTTTGCCAGTGCAGGCTACTGAGCATAAGGTCCTGTATGACTTACCTTGTATGACATTCTGCAAGATAAAGATTTTTAGGATCACATAGCTAGCTCCTGACACACACCATGTGTGTGTGGGCCTGCGGGCCGCTCCAAACAACAGCCTGTTGGACCAAGCTCTCTCATGTCAAGCCTGGCCTCGGGCCGGGCTTGGGGGGGAGTAGAACAACTCCCAGAGCCCCATCATGGTAGGAAGGAAGGTGTGAAACTCATCATATAGTCTAGGGAGTAGCTGCATATATATGCATATGGCTATGTAAAAATTAAGTGAGATATGTCCAGCCATCACTCAGGTAGAGTGCGTTGCACTATCCCTCACATTGAGCTCTATCCCTCTCTCTCAACACCACCACCTGTCACGTCCCCCCCTAACCACCACCCGTCACATCCATCACCCCCCCCCCTTCCCCACACATCACTGGCGTCTCATTAGCTGGGTGCATCTGTCACCTCCCCGCCAGATACGCCTGTCAATACGAGAGCAACAGTATGGCTGTTGTTATCACAACCAACTGCTGGGTCAGGGGGAGAGGCCCACCACCTGCCTCACACACCACCACAGATGGAATACACTAGGAAGAGACGTGGTGGA